GCGTGGGCTGGGGGACTGGCGGGTGGGGCGGACCCTCCTCTACTTCACTACACCCTCCCCCAACCCCATTTCTCCCTGCCTTCACCCAGCTCGAACCGCCCCAGCAGGCCGAGCAGCCCCAGCAGCCCCAGCCGCCCCAGCCGCCCCAGCAGCCCCAGCCCCAGCAGCATTTTATCATGAAGCCTTTTCTGGAAGATCGGCCCGGCAAAATCTTAGAAGACATTTGTGGCACTTGTGGCACGCCCCGGAAAAATCTTATTATTAAATCTTATTGAATCTTATTGAATCTTATTAAATCTTATTGAATCTTATTGAATCTTATTGGTTCATCATTTTTAAAAGGGACACGACTCCAGACCGCCCCAAAAAATCTTATTGAATCTTATTGAATCTTAGAAGACATTTGTACAATTGTGGCACGCCCCGGAAAAATCTTATTGAATCTTATTAAATCTTATTGAATCTTATTGAATCTTATTGAATCTTATTGAATCTTATTGAATCTTATTGCTAAGCCCTGTTGATCCAAGCTTTGTGGTTTTGGCTTGTTGCGAATTTATGACTTTTTCCTTGGAAAATCGCAAATATTCGCCACCGTTTCGCGGGGGGCTCCCGCCCCCCGCACCCCCTGGATCGAGGGCTTTCCCCCCTCGAGCTCCCCCCTTCCCCCCAAGCCCCCCACCGGGGGAAAGGGGGGGGATACCCCCCCTTGAACCCCCCGTGGAAGCATCTTTTCTTGGATAGATAGATCGAGATTCCCTTTGCAGGGAAATTATGTTAAATCTTATCAGTGTTAGAAAGGAAAACAACCCAAATAAAATCTTACTACATCTAACTATAAATCTCATTAAATCTTAATTCGTCTTCAAAAATTATGAAGTCCCGAGCCCGGTCCCCAGCCCTCGCCCTTGCGCCTTATCAGCCCACCTCCCAGGCCAGCCTCGCCCCCGCGCCAAACTCAAAGCCATGACCCTATAAGCACATATAGATACCAGATATGACAGCAAACAGCAAAACCTTTAAAGAGCAAAGACAAAGCACCCACACAAAGCAAAGTGTACAGGGGCGCTCCCTGCTTGAGTCGATGAAACACACTACTGTGCTTGTACTGTGCTACTACTGTACTACCATTGCACCAATGTACTACTATGCTACTGTACTACTGTACTCTGTACTACACGCCACTGTACCGTACCAGGCCTCAAACTTGGTCGATCGTGGGGGTGGTTAGGTTGGAGGCAAAAGTCTTCAACATGAAAGGTGTTTAGTGTTGGTAGTTATCTTGGAGTGATCGGGGCTTGGTTCCAAGTTTTTGGTGATCCCCAAGCCCCCCGATTGCGGCGTTCGCGCAGGTTTCAAACCGACCATGCGACCCCCCATTTCCGTTCTAACTTATCCAAAGCCATTCAGACCCTCAGCCAGCCGAACCCCGGTCCAGGGGGTCACGGACACCAGACTATTCAAACCAAAAACCTTTGGTCGAGGGGGGGTGGCTATTAAACGGCCGCCACATTACAGGTAGCAGAGATGCAACAAGAAGCTCGATGATGCACAGGTGAGTACATGTAATAGTCCAGTAGTAATGCATGTAATAGTATAGTAGTAATGCAGTAGTAGTAAAGTAGTAGCACGGTACGAGGTTTTTAAGTGTACTTGGAGCTGTTCAACGGTTTGGGGGATCACCAAAGGCTGGAAACCAAAAGCCCCGATCACTCCAAGATACTACCAACACTGAAAACCTTTCATTTTGAAGACTTGTGCCTCCAACCTACACTCCCCTCCACAATCGACCACGTCTGAGGCCTGGTACGGTACAGTAGTAGTACAACAGGGTAGAGTAGTACAATAGTAGTACTGTAGTACGACAGTCGTACAGTAGTAGATACAGTGCAGTAAGAGGGTTTAGGGGTACTTGGAGCTGTCTAGCGAGGTTTGGGGACGACCAAAAGTCGAAGCCAAGCCACGGTCACTCAACGAGAACTACCAAAACTGCAAACCTTTCACTCTGAAGACTTTTGCCTCCAACCTACACTCCCCTCCACAATCGACCACGTCTGAGGCCTGGTGCGGTGCAGTGGTGTGTCGTGCAGTAGTAGTACAAGTACTAGCACGGTAGTAATTAGTACAGTAGTACAATAGTAGTACCGTCGTAGTACAGTAGCGGTGCGATAGTAGTACAGAAGTATACTTGTAAGAGGGTAGTAGTAAAGTGGTAGTACAGTAGTATTAAAGTAGTTGTACAGTAGTGGTACAGTACGAGGGTGTGGGAGTACTTGGAGCTGTTGAGCGGGGGCTTGGGCACGACCAAAAGCCCGAAGCCAAGCCACGATCATTCCAAGATAACTACCAAAACTGAAGCCCATTCATGTTGAAGACTTTGGGACTTTGCCTTTCATCCATTAGCCTTCAACCATATACCATGGCACTCTGCCTTCTAACCCTACACCCTAAAACCCTGAAACTCTAACCCTAACCCTCTCATTACCCTCAAACCCTAATACTATGGCACTCTGCGACCTAACCCCAAACCCCAAAAGACCCTGAAACTTTAAACCCTGTGCCAGATCTTCTTCATCCGCGTCTTCTTGGAAAAAACTTAAAAAAGTCAAAGAATGTTATTTTTGTCTTTAAAAGCTTTAAAAGTTTTTTAAAGTTTTTAAAAGTCTTTTAAAGCTTTTAAAAGTGTTTTAAAGTTTTCAAAAGTCTTTTAACGTTTTTTAAAAGTCTTTTGAAGCTTTTAAAAGTCTTTTAGAGCTTTTAAAAGTCTTTTAAAAGCTTTTACAAGTTTTTTAAAGTTTTTAAACGGCCTTTAAAGTTTTTAAAAGTTTTGTAAAGTTCTTAAAAGTCTTTTAAAGTTTTTAAAAAGTCTTCTAAAGTTTTTAAAGGTCTTTCAAAGTTGTTTTTTGTATTTTAAAGTTTTTAAAAGTCTTTAAAAGCCAACTCTGTCGAAAAAGCCCTGTGGATCTAAACCCTGTGGTTCTGGTTCGGTGCAAAAGGGCAATGACAAAAACTGTTTTGTTGCTGTTGCTGCTATCGCTGAAGCTGTTGTTGCAGTGGTTGTGGTTGCTGTTGCTGGTTTTGGCGGTGCGGCTGCTGTTGACGATGGGAACGGGAAGAAGCCGGTAAACACTCTCACGGTTAACGGTGGTTACAATAGAGGGGTTGAGCATGACTTGCTGTTGTGACTTCCTCTGTTTTGGATTTTCTTCATGTCGGCTCGACTCTACCGGATTTACAGTACAGACCAACCGTGCCCTCAACCTTAAGCCTGTAACAGACCTGGTAATTGAGGTATCCGTAAGCTCAGTATTCCCGTGCATACCTACGCTATAGTGTGTGTATATATATACACACAAAAACAACCTAAAGATGAATGTACATGTGCATCTAAGGTACATATGTGTGTGTATGCATGTATATATATATATGTATATATGTATATACATGTATGTGTGTCGTTGTTCGCCTGAGAATTTTTCATCTGTTTACCGATGCTTGCATCCAGTGATATGTTGCATATCTTAATAAGACCCGTTAGCATCCTTTGGACCCTTTAGGCTTCGACGGCGCGAGAGCCGTGGCTGCGGTGCTCGGAGTTCAAAGGCTTCGTCGAAGATGTCCATGAAGCTTACGGGGTTCTTCGGGTTCACGAGTTCAGCTTGGGATTTGTTGTGTTTGGAGATTCAAGCTTTGGGCTTACAGTTTCGGAGCAAACTTCCATAGTGCTGAGAGTTCAGTATTTTGGGTCTAAGTTGCACTACTTTAGGGCTTAGTCTGCAGCCTGTCGTGTGCATCGGAGTTTCAGAAAAAGGAACCGGAATATAGGCGTCAAATGAAAGAATCTGTAGAATGGAGACATCTGAAAAGGATCGCATTTCTAGAGAATTGAAAGTAAGCCCTTGTCAAGCCCTGCAGAACACTTACTAACACAACCTTTGACAAAGCCCTTCTTAAGACCAAAGCCCTGAACTTCGTCACCTGTAGTGCCTCCTACACTCTTAACCCCCGTGCCTCTGAGTTAGATAAGGGCGACCCATGGGGATAGAGACCCTCTCAATAGTGTCCCTTTTAAAGGCAGAAGTAGGGTTAAGAAGGGTTCCCTTTGAAGGGGTCTCCCAAATACTACCTAGGAGATGAGGGGTCGTACTTACACAAGCAATAATAGTAACTCCTATATAGAACCTGACTGTCTACTATGCAGGTACTGAGGACCCTAAACCCCAAACCCATCTAAACCTAAACCAAGGGGCACAGGCGCCACGAACTGCCAGCATGCCATCACTGCCACTGCCTGGGCGCAATCTTTTAGAGGTTTAAAGGTTTTTCTCTTGGAAGCAACAAATAGGCTTTGCCCATAAAGCTCCATGGTAGTTCCTTTTTTGGGTTCATATTTCGAACCCCATAACGTAATCCCAGAAAGGAACTACTATGGAGCCTGTGGGTAGGGACTCCTTTTCAAAAAGCCAAGCAAAGGAGAGCCAAGCTGCGCTGAGGCAGAGGCTCATCACCAAGCTGCGTCCACGTCGAGCCATGGCTATTTGCTGTAGAGCTGGGGAGCGAGCTACCGTTGCTTGAGAGATGCGCCTCCTGCATAGTACCCTTTAAGGTTTGCAAGGGGCTCAAAGGGGTTAGGGTGTAGGGGTTTAGGGTTAGGCGTTTAGGGTTTTGGGTTTAGGAATCCAGAACCCACACAAGTGAAGATGGACTCGTGATTGCTAGCAGTGTTGGCATGGACAGAACACTGCATAGTGTTCATAATTCGGAATACACGAGAATTCTCACGGCTTAGGGTACCTAAGCAACCCTGCAGCCCTAAGCTTACGTTCATACCACTTGAAACCCGGAAGCCGAACCAGAAACTCTTGCCCCGCATCATTGGCGAGGACCACCCCAAACAAAACCTCTCCCAAATTCCCGAGCCCGAAATTACTAAACCCTAAACCCCCCTAAACACTAACCCTCTCCCCTAAACCCTAAACCACACCCGAGAGATGCGACGCCTCTCCCAGCCGCCGAAGCTCTGCCAAGGGAGCGCTCTGTGAGAGAGCCTGTATGAGGGAGCTTGGGCTTCTTTAAGGGCTTCCTGGACCCTGAAGAACCTACATTTTCAGGGCTCCTTAATGAGATTTCCTTAAATGACTCCTTAAAAAGGTAGGTCATGTGGAGCCCAAGTTATGCTTTAGGGTTCCTTTAACAACTCTAATTTACGGGACTGCGAGGGGTTCCTTTAAGTCACAGAGTGCCTGAAACAAAGGAGACTGGGCTCCGTTGAGAACCCTAATTTATGGGTACTATAAGGGTTCCTTTAAGGGTGCTCTCTCCCAAATTCTAGCATACCCAACACCCGAGTATTGGGTCCTTTGGACCCTAGGGGTAACAAGCTTGCTATGGGTTGCTTAAAGAAAAATTTCTGGTGTTTTCGGTTTTGGGCTTCTTCGATTCACGGTTTAGGGTTCCTTGATGCTTTCCTTAAAGCCTTTAAAGGTGCCTTTACCGGGCTCCTTCGACGGTTCTATGGTTCAATGACACTGTCCATTTTTATATGTGGGGTTCATACTGAGCCGGGGGTTTAAGGTTTAAGGTGTAGAGTTGGGGTTGAAGGTGCTGGGTTCGGGGTGTATTAGTCCTTCGGTGGGTGGGTAGGGGGCTCCGATCCCGCCACATTAGACTGGAGTAGGGCTGGAGGTCGCTCCTGCGAGATCTTAGACACAGTGCTTCAGACAGGCCTTTTGGCACCCGCCTCTGGATGCGAGCAAACTCGCCTTCGATACGACGCTTCGGGAAGATTGCAGTCCTGCGATCCAAGGTGAGGCCTGGAACAGGCTTCCCAACATTCTGGCGCGGTAGCCGCAGCCCGCTTCCTGTCTGTAGTAGCGTCTCAGGAATTCGAAACCTCCGGGCGAGATACACCATTTGCCTGGGTGGGAGACGGCAGCCTTGTAGTGTCTCCTTGCTCCAGGTCCATAGTTCTCACGGGCTTGCTGGCTCTGGAGACACAGGTGTCCGCTAGTTCCACTAGGAGGTGGACGAACAACGTGTTCAACCCTGAGGGGTCCCTTTCCGGACCCTCCTGGGCCACCCAGATTCCGTTTGTTCTTAAAAACCAAACGACCCGTAGAAGTATGGGCCCTATAACCCTTATAATATGAGTCCCTATCAATATGGTATATGAACCTTAAACCCTTTTAAGGTACATTTCGTCCTTAAGGTTCTTCTGAAACCAAGCTTCGTGCAACAAGCGTTTAAACAGAGGTCCTTCCGAGAGGGTTTAAGGTTTCTGATCTACGGTTTAGGGGGTTGGCCTCAGGCTCAACACGCTAGACAGGGTCCTATGTATGTCCTTTGGAGACCCCGGAATCTGTGCGGGAGTAGCAGAACTACGTCTGACGAGTCCTTAGGGTTAGGGTCGGCGGGTTTAGGTTCTTCAACAAAGGCTTGGATTTGGGGCTTCGGGTTTAGAATGAGGGCTTAGGGTTAACCGAGTCAGTTTGCAACCCTACCCATAATGCCACACGAAGCCGGCTCGAACCAGTGTAAGGCCCAAAACAAAGCCCACAAACCCATCAAAAACACTGAACTCTTGCAACACCCTTGTCAACTCTCAAACAAAAACCCTCTCAAACCCTGCGTGAGACGTCCAAGAACTGCAAACCAAGGCAGAAGCTTGACATGTCCACCCCCGGGGAAGGGCCCAAGGAAAAGAGATGAGGGTGTTTGGGGCACGAAGCTCGTCCCAAACCGCAACACCCCCCTGCAAACCCCAAACCTTAAACCCAATAAATCCCATAGAGACCTGAGAAAAACCTATAAGCCCTAAACCCAAACATCCTTAAACCCCGAACCTCTCAAACGCCGAAGCCCTCAGGGCCTCTTCCACATGGCGACAGGTCAGAGCCCGGTGCTCCTCCGCAAATCCCCGAAGGCCCAAACGGTAACCCTTGGGCTCCAAAAAGCCCAAAGTAGGTAGTATTTTCAGACTTTAGACCCCAAAGTATGTACTATGTATATACTTGGAGCCCTAGGGTACGGGTCCATGTACCGGGTTTTGACTCTGAATAGAGGTCAGGGTTTAGTTAGGGGTATGGTGACTCTACAACGGGCCATGTAACTTATAGTAACTGAAAAGGGTTCTTTTAAGGCGGTTCCGTCAACGGGATCTATGCAGGTTTTATTACGGTAGATGTGCCCATGTAGTGAATCTACAGGGGTCCTTTGAGGATTCTTTTGAACCACCTGATCCGTAACTGCTGCCGTTCGTTGCTGAGGCCTTGTGGTCGCGATTTTACAGCTTATCAGCACGACAAAGCACCCAGCCATGTGCTGCTTATATAGGCCTAGGGTCTCGTTCAAGCCCCCAATCCTAGACCCCTGAAGCCTAAACCCCTAAACCCTAAATCCTGGACCCTAAACCATCCTAAACCCTAACCCTAAACCCTAAACCCCTAAGCCCAAATCCAAACACATTCGCCTCCACTTGGAGAACACCTCGGGCTTGGTGTCGAAGAACGGACCACTTCCTCTCCTTGCAGCAACGCTCTGGTTCTTGTTTGCTGGTTGAAGGTTTAACGGGGGTAGGATTCAGGGGGTTACTAGAGGATCATGGGACTTAGTAACTGGGGTTATAGATAAGGTAACCATACATATGAATATAAGTACCTGAAACCCAAATTGAGGTACTCATATCCTTACTTTACTCATATCCTTACTTACTGAGTCCCACGACCCTCCAAGTAAGATTGCATGAGTTTAGGTTTTCGGGCCTTGCCGTTGCCAATCATCTCCATCGTTGTGCCTGTTGGGGTTATACAGTATTATCGTCTACCAAGAGGATCCGTATACACTACAATTATGGACTTAAGTCCCCAAAACCATAACAGAGATTGCCTTTTTTCGACCTAATTCCATAATAATGGTAGTGTATATGGACCCTCTGGGATAATGTGGGATCCTAAACGTAAAGTTGACTAGCCAAAACAAGGAACGACAACGGAGACTTCAGGTAGGGTTTCATTGGCTCTTGACGGCACTTAACAGTACGATGCAGGAATCCCTTCGGAAGGTCAGCTTTTACTCGGAACCCATAGGGAAGGAAGCAAACCCTAAATGAAACTCTAAACCGGAACCCTAAACCCTAAACCCCCTAAAACCTAAACCCAAACCAAAAATAGGGCAGGAATCAGAGACCCCAAGCCTAGAGGATCAGGCGACTCTAGAAGCACGTTACAAGTAGCGTGTCAATTGTACACATGGTTCAGGGTCTAGGGTTTAGGGGTTTGGGGCTTCAGGGGTTTATTGTTGATAGATAAGGGAGAGGATATCTTGGGTATTGCGCCCATATCAGGGGTCATACTAAGGGCCATGTATTGTCATTATGTGACCTGACTGTTACAGAGTGTGGGCAGCACCCAAAGTCTATCACACATCCCTTTAAGTAAACCGCGAACCGTATCGGAGGTTCGATTTGGGGCTAAGCGGCCAAGACATTGGTGAGGGCTACCCTAAACCCTAAACCCCTTTCAACTAAAGATTGTCTTAGAACTCGAGCTGCAGCAGCTCCTCAGAAGTTACGACGTGGCCGGGGGCGGCAGTAAGAAACCTCTAGCACCTCAAGCCTTTTAGCACCGGACAGACATGCGCTTTTTAGGCCTTGTTTTCTCTTGTTGTTCGGCCACCATTAATTCCGACTGCGAACAACAAGAACTCCTTACCATGAGGAGCCATTGGGCCGGGTTGAAGCTTGTGGTTTTAGGCGTAGGGAATTCTACAATCGAACTGCGACGACTAAGCAGGGGTCTGAAAGGGAGCATCTTCTGTTTAGGAGTTGTTCACAGAAAGCAATCCGCGGGAGGAGCATGAAGTGAGTGAGGCAAGAGCCAGGTCAACGACACTGAGTCTGGCCAGAGCGATTACTCGCTGTGGGTCAGAATGGAAACGGAGAGGGCCTGTCTGTCCCAATCGCACAATCGCAACCGGAGCTGTGCGGATCAATGCAAATTTTAGCTCCTTCATACCCTTCCGGAATGCAGCTGGAGCCAAAAAATCTTGGGGCCCCCGGGTCTCCTGTATGCCTGCCACAATGTTGTGCTTGCCCACAGGCTGAGCAAGAAGTGACCGTGTCGCAAGGACAGCGCGCTGCACTGCAAGATGCACAGTGAAAGCGAAACATCTGCCCTGACTTGAAGGGTTATGAGAGTGAACCCTAAACCCTAAACCCCTAAACCCTAAACCCCTAAACCCCTAAACCCTAAAACCCCAAAACCCTAAACCCCAGCCCAAGCCACGAACTCTGGGGCGTCCTGGAAGCCAAGAATCAAAGGGGAAAAGGAGTGACCCTTAATTGGGACCCTGGGACCCCTACCCTATAACGGGCTTTATAACGGGCATATAACCACTATATTAAGGGTATATACCTAGGGGTCCTTATTCAAAGTCCCTCCTTTTACCCTTGGAAAGAAGCACTTGGCCAGAGCTGGCCTTTTGGGTACCACTGGGCGACCCAGCTGACAATCGAATCGAAGCCGCTTTTAAAACCCTCAGAAATCGAATCCAGAATTGCGTTCTTCAACATTGAACCGACGAAAAAAACGTATGAAACCCTACACGCCCGATTAAAATCCTTTGCTCAAAATCCCTTTGCCATGATCCTGACTCTTGCCTCCCTCAGTGTGCAACACAACGCGTATAGAAGTACCAAATAACCCTGAAAGGTAAGCGCCCGATATCTTTATAGTATGACTTCCTTCATGGTATCTGAACCGAAACCCTTTGAGGGTACATGTCGTCTTTGAGGCAAGGTGCGTTGAAGGACCAGTCATGTCATCCACCCTAAACCCTAAGCTCTAAACTCTAACAACCCCTCAATGTGCACTAAACTCTAAAAACCCCTTATTAATGTGCACTAAACTCTAAAAACCCCTGAATGTGCACCAAACTCTAAAATCCCCTTAATGTGCACTAAACTCTAAAAAAACCTTTAATGTGGCAGGACAAGGTGCATTGAAGGACCAGTCGTCTCTCTCCAGAGTGACAGTGACCAGGATGTAGGTGAGCCTAGACTGGCCCTCATCCCCAAAACTGAAGGATCTAGAATGGTGTAGTGTTTAGGATGGATATAAGGGTTTAGGATGGCATAGGATATAAGGGTTTAGGGCTTCTGAACCCTAAACCCCTAAACCCCTAAACCCCTAAACTCTAAACCCCTAAACCTAAACCCTGAACTGTATTCAGTTCGGTGCCCTCCGCTTCCCTAAGCTGTAACGGTGGCTCCGTTTGCTTTGGGCGTACCGTCTTGAGAGTCACGCTCTTGACCCAAGGGCTTGTCCACAGGGTCCTAGAGCTTTGGGACCATTCCAGCTAGACTTTCGCCAAGCCAAAAAGGCCCAAGATCCCAAGGGTTTAGGATTCAGGGATGCTACAAGGTTTTGGATTTCGTAAACCCACTCAAAAAGCAACAACCCTAAACCCCTAACCTCTAAACCCAAACGCACAGGGACATGCTTAGGGTTCTCAGTTTACGGATAGGGGTGCCCCCTCTTCCTACTATTCAGTCTGTGTTTACCGGGGTTTGGCTCTATGTGGAGTCTAGGGACCTGGGGAGACCCCAAAATACAAAGGGTACCCGGGTACCGCACACCGATCATACAAAGTCCTTTTGGCACCCTCAGAAAGTTCCCTGAGAAGCAAAACAACCTACAACACGCTTTGTGAAGATTTGGTCTCCAATCCTACAGCTAAAACAATCCAAACCTAACATATGCCACGATTCTGAGTTCTCGACCAGAATCTCACTGAACGCAAGTGCTGAAACCCTAAACCCGCTGCCTTGAAGGTTCTTGTAAAAAAGCCATGTTGCTAAACCCTGCGCTCTGAGCCGTACCAATCCCTCAACCCTCAAACCCTGAGAAATGAACCCTTACCCTAAACCCAAAGCCCAGAACCCAAAACATACAAACCAAAACCCTACATTCTAAACCCTAAACCAAAACCCTAAAGCCAAACCTGAACCCGGTCTCCGCTCCGCTCCACCGGGGACGGCGCGACATTTCCTGACCCTGCTTGGCGCTCCGGGCTCCTTTCAATATACAGGGACCGTTAATAAATGTTACGGCTCAGGGATTATAGGGGGTATGTAGGACTATACATATATATATGTATATATATATATATATCTTTATATGTATATATAAGGATTATAGTGCACGAAAAACTCTACTAATTACGAGGGTCCTCAGAGCGGGCTCAGAGTGTGGAGTTCAGGGGTGATGGCTTCAGGGTTTCGGGATGAAGGCTTCAGGGTTTATCTAGGGCTTAGGGTTTTGGGGTTTAGGGTTTGGGGTTCAGGGACTAGGGTCGAGGGTTTTGGGGTTTAGGACCTACCCTAATGTTCCAGGTATCTCCTTAAGAGGGTCCGGAATGTCCTAGGGAGAGTCCTTGGGGTCTCAGAAACCCTCAATTTTGAGGTTCCCCAATTTGTTAGGACCCTTAGGGTAGGGATAAGGGGCGAAGGTTTCTGGGATGAGAGCTCTGGTGAGAGTTTAGGGATGACCCTAAGGGTCCAAGTACGTAATAACCATATACTCTCCTAAATATTGAGCAACATAATCACTACTCTAAATCCAAGTACCTGATTATCGGGTCCTTTGGACCCTTAGGATGAGGTTTTAGGGTTTGTAGGGTTGGGGTTTATACCTCACGGTTCAGGGATGAGAGATCAGGGTTGGTTTTGCCAGGCCCCTCAGGTACGCCAACAGGGCTCTCACACTCCTCGTTAAGAGGTAGGGGTCTACTTATGGTTCTGCGAAATTGCTAGGTCGTTTTGCGCGGAATTTGAGTTTTAAGCTTCAAGTTGCAGGGTTCGTACAGAGGCATTTTGGTTTCTGAGGGATGGTGCAGAATGCTAAAGAGCTTCAGTCTTTGTTGGGTCCAGGTATCTCCTTAGGAGGGTCCGGAATGTCCTAGGGACAGTCCATGGGTCTCTTTGGTGAGGGTCCCCAAAGCGTTAGGATCCACAGGGGAAGACCCGAAACTTAGAGTCGTCCTGCTTCCTCTGCAACGATTTGAGCGACCGTTTGCCGAACTTCTTCCTGCCAAGCCGTGGTCCCAAGTTTTGGGCTTGGGTAGGGTTTACAGTCTAGGATTAGGGTTCGAGGTTCAGGGTTTAAGGCCTAGCAACAGGTTTCAAAATCGGGTTTCAAATCGAAAGCTTTGATTCTGAGGGGTCTATTGAACGAACAAACACGGCTGCACAGCGCCAACTTGGCCCTCAATCCTACCTAAACCCCTAAAGAACGACTCAATACGACTAGTCTACATACTGTTAGACCCAGGCAACCCCCCTAAACCCGGAACACTAAAGTTTAGTGGGAGAACACTATAAACTTCATTTTGGGATAACCCCTAAACCCTATAAGCCCTAAACCCTAAACCCCAAACCCTAAACCCTAAGCCCTAAACCCTAAACCCCTTAGCTATCTGCAACTTGTAACACTAAACCCTCGACCCAAAGTCGCTCATAAAGGGTTCAGGACCTCCTGAGCAGGACCCCCTTGGGGATGGGGGGTCTCCGAAAAGAGGGGACCCCAATGTAGGACCCTAAAGGACCCTAAATAGTAGGATCCTTATTATAAGGAGCCCAGAATAAGGTAGATTCAAAAGCGTCCTCAGTCAAAACTTGCGGTTTGGGGGGGGTTTAGGGTTTGAGGGAATGCAAAGGCATGAAATGCGGGGCCTGAATCTTCACAATTAGACTTCAAAGTGGTTTGGGAGGAATAGTGTTGTTGGGAGGGGTTAGATACGAACTATGACGAGCTCTCGCTGAAGGACCAAATGATCCTTAAAGTAGGGGCCCTATACCCATATACTATGAATCCCTATATGGTATATGAACCTTAAACCCTTTTAGGGTTCATTTCGTCCTTAAGGTCTGGTACACTTAAGCCTTGGGCCTCAACATGGAGGCTTTCACACAAGACTGCGCGCAGCAATCTAGATAGGCCGGCACTACATACCGGGATGTTACAACACGGAGGCTTTTAGCCCCAAAGCCGGAAGAGAACCTGAATACCCAAATCCCCGAACACAGAAACCTTAAACCCTCGGTTCTGAACCTTCAATCCTAAACCCTAAGCCCCTAAACCCTAAACCCCTAAACCCTAAACCCCTAAACCCTAAACCCTAAACCCCTAAACCCTAAACCCTAAACCCCTAAACCCTAACCCCTAAACCCCTAAACCCTAACCCCTAAACCCCTAAACCCTAAGCCCCTAAACCCTAAACCTTAAACCCCTGAACTGAGGGGCTGAGTATCCTCGCCCAGAAAAAGGTTAAGCTTCCCTTTTTGGGTACCCTACATATTAGGCGCCGTATTGTAATAGGGACCCAAGAGAGGAACCCTACTTTTGACAACCACCTATACATACGATGAGCCCTTACATTGACGTTGTATATGAACCGTAACCCCTTTGTTATAAGGTACATTTCGTCCTTAAGGAATGTCTTGCAAGATAGCCCTGGCCTCGGAAAGTAGTGGAGGAGCTTCCTCTGCGTGGCATCCCAGCACGCGACCTTTACTGCTAGCCGTAAGGCAAAAGAGATCAACTACAAAGGCGATTACCCCAAGCGCCCGAACAAATTGGGGTAACCTCAAACTTGATGGTCTTTGAGACCCTAAAGAGACCCAAGGACTCTCCCTAGGACATTCCGGACCCTCCCAAGGAGATACCTGGACCCTTAGGGTATTGACGCCCCTTCTAGGATGCCCAGTAACCTGGGAATAGAAAGTGCTCCCGACAGTTTTACTTAGAAGGAACTTATAAGGCTACAAAAAGGGAACAAGGACTGACTGGGAGGCCTAGACTTCAATCTCTTTGGGAATTTCCGATAACAGGGGACCCTAATATAGTAACCCAAAGAGTAGGATCCTTATTAAAGGACCCCAAAACTCAAGCTCCATGTATCCATAGAGTAGGTACTTAAGCTTTAAAGTACCCATATAGGGACCCCTTAAAGGCCCAAGTACCTACTATATGGCCACATGGAGTCTTACTGTTGAGGACATAAACCCTGCATGACCCATAATGAGGAATACACCATAATTCCCATAGTCTATGGTCCTTCAGGTAGTGCAGGATTTATATCATCAACCGTAGGGAAATAAGGTACTCCTAATTTTTGGAAACTCCCATATAAGCAGATTTCTATCATCCCGAAGCCTGTCACGCGCTCCTAAACTGGTCATAATGTTGATGAAACAAATCCTGCATTACATTAACGACGGTAAACTATGGGAATTATAGTTGCTATGCTCCTTATTATGTGTAATGCAGGATTTATATCATCAACCCTAAACCAAGCCTTCCAAGACACGTCTCTGTTTTCGGGGTCCCGTAGATTCTGATGATAAGTCGGATGTCAACCATACAAAAACTTTTCTGCAAGAAGGTGAGACAAACTACCTGCATGGGTTAAACCGGGTAGTCACCTACTTTGTAGACGATAGACCCCAACCATAAAACTAGGTAGGCTGAAATAGGGGTAGGGCATGACACTGTAGTCTGGGTAAGGTCTAGGTAAACCAATGCTCAGACAAGTTTTAGCTACCGATCTAATTCTAGGGTCGAGTTTAGACTTCACACCCTTTAAGATCTGTTGGGATGTCTAGGCGTAAGAGTTTATCTTCCTGACTCACTGCTAGAGGTTTAGACTCCGGGGGTTAAGGCCTAGCTTCGGGTTTTGAACGCAAGGTTTAGGTGGTTGTTGGCTTACAATAGCAATGAAGGTTCAGAGTATAAGGCAGGGATTAATAATTAAGGGTTCCTGCATCCTCTAAACCCTAAACCCTAAACCCTAAACCCCTAAACCCTAAACCCAAGCCCTAAACCCCTAAACCCCTAAACCATGAACAGTTCCCTGTCGAGACACCCAGCGCTTCCCACTCCTCGACTGACTGCCTTGACATTCCAGCACTACCGTTCATGGGATGACGAGTAAGTTTAGGGTTTAGGGTTTAGGGTTGCACGATGCATTCCTACTTCTATTTCCTTGAAGACGCAAAGGAAACATCAACAGGAACCAACATGGTACTTCTGGGCGACCTGGCTTCAGGGAGCTGGAGTCCGGAGTTAATCCTAAACCTTAACCTAGTCCCTTAACCACTGTGGTTTCCCGGTTCCAGGATTCAGAGCTTGATCGAACACAAAGGCCGGGATAAGTACATCAGGGCTTTGTGGGGAGTTTCATACGGCCAAATAAGGGGATTATAGTATCAAGTAATCCGACTCCTACAGTATCCAAATAGGATTCGGGACCAGGGAGCTAGAGTTTGGGGCTTGACTTAGCTTTACCAAGTGTTTCGACCTTTCTATAGTGGGTTTCACCGACCCTCCCTCCACCGCTAGCCCTGGCCTCAATCCCAAACCCCAGAACCTAAAGCCTCATTCTTAAAGCAGAGAGCTCTCAGCTTTATCGGTTCCGCAGAACAGCGGGTCTGTGTTATGCCCTGGTCATGCCCCAGGACTGCGAACCTTGGCACATATCCCGAACAGATATGACACAAACAATCGCAAGCAAAGCGAGCGGATGTGTCGCCGCTGACGCCTTGACTGACCTCCACACCTCATATTCGTACAAAACTTCTGATTCCCAAATCTACTTAGAGCTCAATTCCTAAACCCTACTGGGAAGGTCGGGGGACATAGTAAGTAGGTAATACGCATTGTTATCAGTACCTTGAAGGGGTCCGAGTTGCCAAATCTATAGCTCGATAAAATAGCTACTTGTAGTAAGTCCCCGGGCCCTCCAAGTAAACCCCAATTGGGCCCTAAATGCAAGCCCGAAACTCGCCTAACTCTTATAAGCCGGAATAGGGTTGAGGGTTTAGGGTTTAGATCCCAGAGAACATCGGAAGCATGAAAAGAAGGTACACACACATTTACTGTGCACATACCCGTCATCCAATGTAGGTATGTATGTACGTATGCATGCATGCATGTATGTGTTTGTTTGTACCCATTCGTGAAAATGGCCAGATAGACAGATCGACAGATAGCTAGATAGACATACGGATGTGAACAAACTGTAACTTGGGCTAGGGTTTGCGTCGACACACATGTAGATGTACGTACATACCTACATGAATATCGACATACATATATATATATATATATATACACACATATAAATAGTCTGTAGATTGCACAGATGTACATATGCATAGACTTTCTATACATATGTAACTATCACAGATTATTGTCTGTGTGTGTTTTGTGTATCTACGTGCAACCCTAGCAGTTGCCGATGTTCGATTCCGATGCCTCAGTCCTTGAAGCTCAGAAGCGAAGGCAGCGGCCTGACGTCGACGTCACTTAGGGATTGGGGTTGGCTTGTATGCTTGCTTGCTTAGGTTTAGGGCTTGAGATTTAGGGATTAGGGGTTTAAGTGTATTGAAGTTTGGGGGGCTTCCTGAGTCCTAAAGATGGGTTTCCCCAGCCCAAAGGCTCCATGTACCTTTATCGTGGATACTTATAAAGCCTTAAAGGGGTCCCTACATTGGCAATGTAAGGCCTAAGTATATTCTATGGGTACATGGAGCCTTAGGGTAGTCTGGGTGAAACGGTGCATAGGCTGTAGGTGCATGCAGCCTCGTGGTACATAGGACTAACACAAACTAGAGCACTTGTACTCTACATATAACTTTTGTACTGCGTGTGCATTAGCACGTGCGGTTCCGCTTAGTGTCTAGAAAAAGCTGGCATCGTCAACATAAGGGACATCGCACAGCCCTTGCCAGGGAAACCTCATCAGATCAGTTATACAAAGCTCTGACACCCTAGGCCCTGTCGACCTTAAACCCTAAACCCTAAACCCCGAAACCCTAAACCCTAAATCCTAAACCAGAACCCCTTCTTGGCCCTTAAGGCACCCCCTGAAACCAAAACCACAAATCCTAAAGCTCTGCACCGCGCACCGTATAAACGCTATGGGCCCTGAGCTCTAGACCAAAACCCCTTTGAGGATCCCATTTCTACACTGAACTTAGAACCCTAACAAAAAATGTATTTTTAGCTGTTTCTTGGGGATTATAATAACCAAAAATGGAAACTATTTCTAAGTTTCCCTATATTTTTGGCTGCCCGAGAGCCCTGATCCTCTGAGCCCTCTCCCTGCCTTCAGTCGTTCCTCGGCACGCTGCAGCCATACCCTGCAGTACTTGGAGGGTCGGGGACTGGGGGGGTCGGGGGACTTAGTAAGTAGGTAGTAAGTAGACTTATAAGCACCCTAAAAGGGATTCTAAGTAGGGTTATGGTAATTATAAGTCTCCAAAATAACTACTAAGTAAGTCCCCCGACCCTCCAAGTATCCCAGAGCTTTTAACTTGGGGTTGTTTAACAGGATTCCTTTAAAGGGATCGGGTTTGGGGTTCCTTAAAAGGGCTCCTTAAGGGCATAGGGCTAAGGCCGGGACTGTTGTTTAGGATAGTATTTTAGTACATGGGGCCTTAAGAATTGGAACGAGAGGTGCTATGAGGGGATATCGGCACATTATTAGGAACCACGATGGGTTGTGGATTTTACCCTAAGCGTCCTAAAGAACCCATGAATTATTGTAGGTATTTGGCAGGGTTTAGGATAGCAGTTTCGGTGGGTGATTGTGGGGCACTGGCACCAATACTTGGAGGTTCAAGGGTAGTTATAAGTGGGGTTATGAGGTTAACTATAGCTCTAACCCGGAACGTACAACCCAACTCATAACTGAGGTCATGTTAAGGGATTTGATTCTGGGATCTATAGTACATAAAATGGTTTCTTTGTCATCAAAACTTAGCTTAAACCTCTGAACAAGAACCCAGAAACCCAAAACCCTCAACCATACACGCCAAACCATATACGCCCTGTAAACCCTATATATACCCTAAACCCTAGAAACCCCATAAGCTCTAAACCCTATAGGCCCTATAGACCACTAAACCCTAAACCGCCAAGCCCCTAAACCCAAAACCCTCGACCCTAGCCCAGCTTATAACTACACTTGGAGGGTCGGGGAACTTAGTAAGTAGGTACTTGTAATAAGTAGAGTTCTAAGTACCCTAAACGGGACCCTAATTGGGGCTATGGTACTTATAAGTCACTAAAAAAACTACTTAGTAAGTCACCCGACTCTCCAAGCATGTGAACCCCCAAGCCGGAATCGTGTTCAGGGCGTGAGGCTCAAACTTCCTTAAGGACGAAATGTACCATACAAGGGTTTATGGCTCATTTACCATGTAGGAATTCATAGTATGAGGGTATGAGGCCCTTACTTTTGAGGGTCATTTGGTCCTTTAGGTTGTTGCTGCCCTTGTGGTGTGGTTCTTTCCTGGTGCAGGTGACGCTTCCGTTGGCACGTAGTCGGGGTCATTCCCCTGATGTCGAGAGTTGATAGGATACTGATATCTGGTATTCCATTCTTCTAGTTCCTCTTTCAGCACATCTATTTCTTCCTGCCTCTCTCGCGCTATGCTCTTCCAGGCTTGAAGTCCTTGGCTGACTTCTGAACTCCATCCATCCTAAAAGTTCAAATTTTAGACCCCTTACGGCGGCGGTTCTGGGCCACAGATTGGATACCGCGCCGGAACCACGTGGCTCAAAGTCTCATCAGCCACCTCTCGGGCGATGAGCTCCTCCGAGACACGGATGTGCTGGGTCCTGGCCTGCCTCGGGATGTGCGCCAGCTCAACAAAAGGCGTATACAGGCAAGATGTTGCCTCCACAGTCGCCATGAAACCGGAGCAGCCGAAGCGTCCATGTACGCATACTGCCCTATACCCTAGAGTTCCTAAAGTACCTAACTATAAATATAAATATAAATATAAGTATATATATATATATATGTATATGAATGTATAGAGAGAGAGGTATCTTAGGGCCAAAATGTATACAATCGCATGCATCACCTGACGTGGGAATCTACATGGGGCGACGGACTCCAAACCCTATACTCCGAATTACTGGTGTTGGCTGCCTTACGGTACCCTAGGGTTTAGGGTATAGGGTTGAAGGGGTTAGGGGTTAGGGTTTTAGGGTTTAGAGTTTTAGGGTTTAGGGGTTTTAGGGTTTTAGGCTATAAGGGCGTACCCTAAGGGTCCGGGTATCTCCTTAGGAGGGTCCTGAATCTCCCAAGGAGAGCCCTTGAGTCTCTTTGGGGTCCCAGAAATCATACATTTTGAGGTTCCCTGAAGTCCTGAAGTGTTAGGACCCTCAGGGTAGTTTCTCACTATATAAGATCATAACTTATAAAGCAGGCTATCCTGAAAGGTATTATCTTCCAGGGTCTAAGCAGGTCTACTTGAAGTCATATTCGGGATCACTCTACAATCTACAGCAAGAAAAGCCCTGTACAATGAGCTAACCCCTGTTCTAAACAATACACCCTAAACCCGAACCCGTGTTGAAGCTTGTTGGCGGAGAAATGCCTCGAAAGGGAATGTGATTCTTCACGAAGGGTCTGCTCGTCACCTTTGCAGCAGAGGGTGCTGAGGAGGCTTACCAGAAAGGCGTTTGGGGTCTGTAAGGGTGTACCACAGCCTACCAAGACCTACGTGTTTGTGTCGGGTCCCTATAAACTCAATAGTAGGGTTTCTAACAAGAGCCGTCAAGAAAGAAGGGTTTGGTAGTTTAAGCTAGGGTTCAGAGATGAGGAACTTGGGGCAACAGGCCTTGAGGTCGAATCGTGATCTTGCATGTGTAGAAGTTTCTATACTGAACTTAGAACCCTAGCAAAAATGTAATTTTAGCTGTTTCTTACGGATTATAATAACCAAAAACTAAAAAATATTTCTAAGTACCCCTAAGGTTTACGTAAGGTGCGGCTCACGGGTGCAGAGGTGTAGAACTTTGGGTTTGCAGGCATAAAAGGCTTTGGAAAGGGGCTTACATGTTCAGGGGGTTACCCCAAGAGTCCAAAGGATCCAATAATTAGGTACTCGGTTTTAGGATAGTAGTTATGTAGGTTAGGGTTTTGGACAGTATACGATTATTAGGTACTTGGACCCCTGGCGTTAGGGCTTGGGGCTTTATAAGCATGGTTTTAGGGTTAGGGAAAATGTTGATTGGGAAATTTATTCATATTTAAGATGGGCCTCTCGGCTTAGCTTGGGAGTTTACAAGCTGAAGCGTTTCGGTGTGCACACACCTGGAACTCAAGCTGTAGGGAATTGCACATCAACCAAACTTGCTTCCGCACCGACCATGAAACTGCTCAGCCCCTAAATCCCCTATAAACCGAAAAGCCTAAACCCCAAACCCTAAACTCTAAACCCTAAACCCCTGAACCCCTAAGCCCAGAGTTCAGAGGCGCCTGAAAGCGCAACGCGGCCACAAAGCTCAAAGGCTTCCTCACGGCACACCAGTAATGCAGGGGCCTTGATGATTAGAACAGCGTTCCTTTAACGGGTTCCTGAAAGGGGTCTATAAGGGGTAATTAGGGCTCGATAATATAGGGTCCTTTAATAATTAGAAGAAATGGTTCTTCTAAAGGTGTCTGCAATTCGACTAAGAGTAACCTAGGAATAAAAGGGTGCCCTTTTTGGGTTAAAGAGGGTTATAAGGGAACCTAAACCCTCAAAAAAGGGAATAAGGGCCGCGGAGCAAATGGGGTGGAGAGGTACAACCACACCAAGAGGCAAACAGCCTGGACCAATTTGTAGGCAGCGGCCAGAAGGTTGGCATCAGCCAATGAGCACAAGATGTAGCCCGAACCAATCAGGACGTTGTTCATTGTCATCCCAACAATCAAACCCCCAGGGCTAAAGCCAGAAACAGTTGCCACAGTCAAAATGCCCCGCCGGTAGCGCGTCATTCCTGGAGCGCTAGCCACAAGGCAAAGAGACAAAAGGATGACAGCGAAATTGAATGCCTGACTGGCCGAAGCGAGAGTGATCTTCCTTGCGCCATTAGTGTCCTGAGAAACCACGAACTTGGTTTCATACGCAAGCATGGTCACCATGATAGCAATGAAGCCAGCGAATTGGACATAAACGGAGAGCCAGGATCCGGGGTCCTAGTGTAATTCGATCAGGTTACTACACGGCTACTATAGCAGAGGGGCCTTGATACTTGGAATATCTTGGAATGGGGTTCTGGGGGACCTGATTATGATTATAGTATGATCTACCCTGCAAACCCTATTCTAGTTATTCAGGAACCCTAAACCCTAAACCCCTATCTAGTTATTCAGGCCCCTACGCTTAGGGCTTAGGGTTCCAGGAACCTCAGTGGCATGCTATAGTTCGACCCAGGGTTCAGGGGGGTCGGGGGGTCGGGGTTTAGGATCTATGGGTTGTGGTTTAGGAGGTCTAGGGCTTAAGGTTTGGGGGCCGGGTTTGTAGGGCTTTCTGGGTTTAGGGTTTCTTTCGGTATGTATGTTAGTTTTTGTGGATGAAGGTTTCAACTCAAGGCATGTAGTGTTTGTAGTGGCGACAGGGTTTAGGAGTTTCTGTTGGCGCTTACGGCTTCTGGCCTTTGTAGGAGTAGGCTACTTGGAGGGTCGGGGGACTTACTAAGTAGTTATTTTAGAGAGTTATAAGTACCATAACCTCAATTAGGATCCCTTTAAGGGTACTTATAAGTCTACTTATTACCTACTTACTAAGTCCCCCGGCCCCCGACCCTCCAAGTGGGGTTTAGGCTTGTTTATCGGATTTCTTGGGTTTTTAGGGCTCGCTGGGCCTGTCGGGTTTACGCCGGCTTTATAGGGTTTCTAGGGTTGACAAGATGGCTTCGTTTTATAACTTTACCAGTACTTTCTATTTTTATGGGGCTTAAGGGTTTTTGCTGTTTAAAGGGCTTTGTTTTGTGTCTGTTTGCTTGTTCGATCTTTCACTGCGTGTGTAGTGCTTCGGTTTCTCTCTTCTTCTGGACTTGGGGTTGTTCCGCTTGAAGGCTGCGGGGCTTGACTTTGATATTCTGCAATTTCCCAAGGCCGCCCTTGCAGGAGCCTTCTGGCTTATGGGGCATTTCGGGTTGACCAGTGGGTACACGGTCGGTATCGGGTTCGGCATGTTGCTTGACGCAGGGCCACTTTGTGGTTCATGACCTCCAGAATGCGTCCTCTGTCCACGTCCAGATGGTTTAGGGTTTGGGCCCAAAGCTCTTAACCCCGAAGCCAACACTGCAACCATATATGCTGATACAGAACGTGAAAACATGCGTACAGAAAACTCCACAAGCCTATATTGAAACACGAAACACCGGCCCAAAGTAAACCCTAAACCTTAAACCCGAAAACCTACACCCCGAACCCTAAACCTTAAACCCCGAACTAAACCCTCTTCCCTCCCCTCCGAAAGAAGGCATGTAGCCCAGAGGGTCCATATACACTGCAATTCTGGAATTAGGTCCTCAAAACGATAATAAGGTGGTCTTTTGGGACCCAGTTCCATCATAGTAGTGTTATGGGCCCTCTGGGTAAAGCTTCTTACCCTAAACCCTAAACTTAAACCCAAAACCCTAAACACCAAACCCTAAACCTTAAACCCTAAGGATATGGGTGGTTGTCAAAATTATGGTCCCTTTTGGGGGGTCCCTAATGTAGTACGGCACCTAAATTTTAGGGTGCCCAAACAGGGACCATAATGTTGACAACCACCCATGTATTAATGCTGCTTCTTATCCTAAACCCTAAAACTTAAACCCCAAACGCTTAAACCTTAAAGCCTAAACCTTACACCCTAAACCCTAAACCCTAAATCCCTCAACCCTACACCCTAAACCTTACACCCTAAACCCGAAACCCTAAATCCCTCAACCCTGCACCCTAAACCTTACCACTTACACCCTAAACCCGAAACCCTAAATCCCTAAACATAAATTCGTGCTTCATCCCGAGCCTTCGCCTGCTCCAGGGCGATGCACGCACTCTGCGGGCGACTCAGGTCGTCCTCGGAGGAGCCCGATGGGCTTACTCAAAGGGGAACAGGAGGGACCCTTAATGGGGACCCCTACCCTATAATGGGCTATATAATGGGTATATAATAGCTATATTAAGGGTATATATGTGGGGGTCCTTATTAAGGGTCCCTGCTTTTACCCTTGGACTCACGTACCCCAATACCACTGATGATATAAACCCTGGGGTTCTTTTAAAGGGATTTAGGGTTTAGGGTTGTTGATGATATAATTCCTGCATGGTGTAGGGTTTTAGGGTTTAGGGTTTTACGGGTTAGGGATTTAGGGTTTTAGGGTTTAGGGTGTTAGGGGTTTGGGTTTCGGATTTGGTTTAGTTTAAACACCCATACGGCTTGCCTCAAAGGCAAGGGCTTCGATAGCCTCGAAAAGGGGGGGGCGGGTACAGGGTCGAAGTAGTCACAACGTTTGATTTCAAGGACTGCATTCACATCCTTCGAATAAGGCGCACTAGCATAAGCAAGTCTTGGGTCTAGTTGGCTTTGTAGCGTCTGGGGCTTAGGGGCTTAAAGTTTCAAAGGTTCAGGAATAAGCGGGCCCCCGTAGTGGGCCCCCGTTGCTTTTGCGCCCTCCAAACCCTATAAGCCCTGCCCTGAAACCAGAAATCCCAAACTCTTCCAACATTATACATCCAAATCCCGGCATCCTCAAACCCACAGCCGAAAAAAAACCCAAATATTCCAAAACGCCTGAACCCTAAACCCTACGGCTTCCGAACCAGGGCTCCACCGTCGGGCTGCAGGACTCTCGGGTTTTGGGTTTTTGGGTTTAGGGTGTAGCGTTTAAAGTGATTCGGGTTGAGAGTTTGGGATTTGGGGTTTGCGGGAACCTGAAAAGCTGTACAAATCAAGACCAAACACACAACCATGAGAAATAGAGCGCGCCACCAAAAAACACACACCCTAATCCCCAAACCCTAAACCCCTAAACCCTAAACCCTAAACCCTGACCCCCTAAACCCCTAAACCCTAAACCCCTACACCCCTAAACCCCTAAACCCCTAAGCCCTATCCCCCTGAACCCTAGGTCTTCCCCTTAAAGGAACCCGGAAGGCCCTTAGGGTCTTTTCCTCTTGAAAAGGAACCCTAAAACACCCCCCCCCCCCCCCCCAAAAAAAAAAAAACGAAAACCCTAAACCCCAAACCCTAAATCGCCTAAATCGCCTAAACCCCAAACCCCAAGCCCTAAACCCTAAACCCTAAGCCCCAAACTCTACGCCCCTACTTGGAGGGTCGGGGGACTTACCAAGTAGTTATTTTAGAGAGTTGCAAGTACCATAACCCCAATTAGGGTCCCTTTTAAGGTACTTATAAGTCTACTTATTACCAAGTTACTAAGTCCCATACCGACCCTCCAAGTAGGGTTCAGGAAGTTTAGTATAGTATCCCTTATGGCAACCCTTATAGACCCCTTTAAAGGAAAACCTACATTAGTAAAGAACCATCTCGAGGTTGGTGCCTCGAAGGATCGCCTGGCTTCGGCCTCGTGAGCTCAAGACCCCAAGGGACCGAGGGTCGCTTTTTGGGTCCCTACTATTATTATTAGTATTACTAGTATTATTATTTTTTTTATTATTATTAAAGGACATCAGTTAGAAGGGGCCCCCAACCTGTAATAGTGGTATAATAGGAATACAATAGGGCCCTCATATAATCCTTATAGTCACCATTACAGGGTGGGGGCCGCTTCTCAGACATCAGTCGGTCGTTTGCATGAAGCACTCATTGGGCAGTGCCACGTACTCACACAGCGTTTTTTGCACAAGATGCTTTCATCTGGCACTGCAGTTTCCATAGGGTTCTCCTGCCCAATGGAAAAGAATTGCAGAACACGGCATTGCGGTCTCTTTGCGACTAATTATACGTGATGCGCAAACCTGATATAAACTGGGAACTAGGATCACTTATGGGCTTCCCATGCTTTCCACACCTTGCCAGTGCCTGCATCAGCAAGCCCCCATCGAACTAACCGGCCGACTTCTGAAAGCTGTTGCAAACTGTCCATGGCATGCCAAGATGCCAGAAGTCCCGATTTCGGGTCGAAGATGAGCGATCGAAGCTCTGCGTTGAACTGGTCGATGTTCATGCTGTCTTTGATCTTGTTGAGTATCAGTTTTTTGTCCGTCTCGGATGACGCCCGCATGTTGCGAATATCCAAATGTTCTAAGGAATGTGCACGCTGCATGATGGTTGCTTTAGATGTAACTTTGAGTGCCTGATTCATGTGCAGACGTTTGGCTTCTGCAATTTCCGCAACACACCAAGCACGATGAAACAAGTCAAGGGATTGGTCCACCGCAATTACTTGCCTGCAGCCTCCTGTTTCCACAAGATGATGCATCATGTCATCGAACTTGTTGACCTCTGAAGCGGCGCTTCTGCCATCCGGATCAACCAAGTTCACGCTGCTGCAACTACATACGGGATGCAACTCGTTCGTCAACGGATCGCGGTCGTAAGGGTTGCTGTGGCATATGCAGATGTGCTGGTTTACTGCAAACGCGCAAATCCAATACGTGTCATCCAAGCGACCGCTCTGAGCTAGAATCTCACGAACGAATGTGCAGTCCTCGTCCAACAGTTTGGCTGCCAAAGTGAAGCTGTTTCCTAGTCTTTGAAGCCTGGCAGCTGTCATGATTGAGGGGTGTAGGCTTTGGGGTTCGGTGGTTAAGGTTTACAGGTTGCAAATTCCAGAGATTTCTGCCAGTGCTATTCAAAACTGTATTCGTTTATGCATATGCAAGCAAATGACCTACTCATGTCCCTGACCCATCCGGATCAAAGCCCTGATGACCCCACTGATGCTGGCGCTATCTCAATGTGTAAAAAAGCAAACAACACCCTGGACAAAACTTGCACTGAACTCTAGCCTGGGCAGCAATTTCCCCAATTGTGGGTCACCATAAGTTGAGCTCTTCGAGGTCCATCCCTGTTCAAAGCCGAGACTGCATATGCAGATTCCTGCCTGCGGGTGAGAGGGATGATGGCCCTGCGGACCACATCTCTAGTCTTATGGTCACTCGGGGCATAGTTCCAGCCGGGCATGGGAAGAAGCATCTCTTGATAAAAGCACAAGAGGCTGCGCAAAGTCATGCCCCGCAACGAGAGCTCTTCAACTTTTGCTTTCCACGTCGGGCTCCAATCCCTTTCCTGTTCCAGTGGGGCTTTGGTCTGGCAGCAGCATGGCAAACAGCCCAACTGTGGGCCAGGCACCTGGTCAACCTTTGGAAGCCTGTGGGCCTGACAGGAGAACCGCAGCCAGAGCATTCCCCAGGACATCCAAGGCTTGAATGCCTACTGCAGCCCACACGGGTATGCTAAAGAAGAAGTCATCGTCATCAGCATTAGTGTCAACTGCGCGTGGAACTGTACTTCTAACACCGCATGGAATCACCAAGATTGTCAGCACAAGGCTCCAAGACACGCCCATCGTTTGCAGGCCTGCCAAGCGTCGGGCTCGTTTCAGAGACAACTGCACTGCGACGGACGCATCACTGAGCTTTGCCATTCTCAAGACCCTTCGCAAAACCAGCAAAGACTTGGTCAGGAAGTAAGCTGCCATCATGCTGGCCAGCACATTAACGATAGCAGTAAGCATCCCAGTAAGCACCCCCACAACTAGTGCTGCGTCGAAGCACAGGCCAAATGATAGTGAAATCACTGCCAGACTGACAGTGCATGCTTGCACCCAGACAAGGCAGCAAATGTAGCGACCACCGTATGCCTGCTTGGAAGAAAGCTCCAACAGCTCCAATCGCGAAGCGATGAGCTTCTGCATGCAGACTGAGCAGAGCAGGTAAAGGGTGGCTCTGCAGATCACTAGACCCAAATAAGACACATTTGTATCAGGAGAATAATCTGAAACATATGAAACATATATGTTCGGCAGAACGCCATACATCAAATCAGTCGGCGTCCTGGCCATGGTAGCCAGCAGGGAATGGCACCAGTTGCGAATGGCATACTCACTGGCTGATTTCACATGAGGTGAAGCCCCGGCCCTTTTCCTCAGATATGCTGCCATGCAACCAGATCCCAAACTCGCCAGCATCAGGACACTGAAGCAATTTCTAGCAATTCCAACAGCTCCAACCCGGCTTTCCGCATAAGGGTCGTCATAAGGATGAGGAAACAGCAAGACTGCAGCCGTAGCATTCGCTGCAAGGACAAAAGCATACTAGCCAGGCCGCCAGCGATGCCAATGCTGCCGGAGAAAGAAACCATCAGTTGGACTCGGAGTCACTGAGCTCGTAGTTCCCGAGCTTCCATCGGAGCTTTCTGAGATTGAACTTGCCATGCAGCCAAAAAGTCTTCGGGTGTGGTTTTTACAGCACCAACGCGCATGTCGCAGTTCCACAGCAAGCGTCTGAAACAAAAACCGCATGCAACAATATGGGATTCCAGGGGTACGGTCATGCCGATGACAGGCCATGGTTGATGCGATCGGTATAACCCAAAGGCTCCATGTATCCACATAGTAGGTACCTAGGCCTTAAAGTAGCCATATAGGGACCCCTTTGAGGCCTAAGTACCTACTATATGGGTTGTAATTTTAGCTGTTTCTTAGGGATTAGAATAACCAAAAATTAAAGAAGTATTTCTAAGTACCCTAAGATAAGCTTTCCAACTTGCAGGGCGCCCTGTGTCAAGAACGAGGTCGCCAAGTGACAGCATCATCGTTGTCCAGCTTGTACGGGTAAGACTAAAGATTGTTTAGGTTGATTTTGGGGTTTAGGGTTTAGGGTTTGGTTCTGGATAGTGTGTTATCGGATAAAGTTAAAGTTTAGGTGTTTGCTTTGGTTTGGGGTTTGTGGCGTCAGGTGAGTCGATACTGTTTTAGGATGGCGGTACAAGCGTAGGACAGAACCCTTACCCTGAAGGACCAAATGATCCTTAAAAGTAGGGGCCCTCTACCCATATAAAATGAATCCCTTTATGGTATATGAACCTTAAACCCCTAAACCCTAAACCCTAAACCCTAAACCCTAAACCCTAAACCCTAAACCCTAACCCTAAACCCTAAACCCTAAACCCTAAACCCTAACCCTAAACCCTAAACCCTAAACCCTAAACCTTCATTTCGTCCTTAAGGGAAGGAACTCGGTGTCTTCTGAGGACGGCGCCAGCCGCTGTTTCGCTTTCTGCGAGGCAAACATCGCCTGCCTCACCCCGAGGCGATGGCGATTTTTCTGCAAAACCTGCGGCTTTAGGGTTTAGGGGTTTAGGGTTTAGGGGTTTAGGGTTTAGGGTTTAGGGTTTAGGGGTTTAGGGGTTTAGGGTTTAGGGGTTTAGGTTTTAGGGGTTAGGGGTTTAGGGGTTTAGGGGTTTAGGGTTTAGGGGTTTAGGGTTTAGGGTTTAGGGCAAACAAACTGTAGGAGTTAGGGTCCAGGCTCGGGGTTCACAGTTTCGAGATTTCCCCCCCAAAGCGGCCAAAGGATCTAGTACTTCGGGACTTGTGTGTAATCGTAGTATTGCAGGTTAATATGTGGGGAGCATACGATTGTTACCTTCCCTAAACCCCGAAGCCCTTACCCAAGGCGCAGTCCCGAAGAGGAGAATCTGTGGTTCTAGGTACTTGGGCCGGGTTCCGGGTAAGGTCCATCTCTCCCATTAGGGCCCCAAAAAAGCACATAAGCAAAAATTAGGATAGGGATATCCCATATAAATCCCCTTATAATGAAGCCCAATAAGGTAGGGATATCCCAAAAAAATGCTTATGGTTATGTGCTTTTGGGGTCCCTAACACATGGTCCATTGTGGTCACAGGTTCGTCCTCCATCGCGGTGAGATGCATTGCCAACAGTACGACTGCCTCAAGGACGAAATGCACCCTGAAAGGGTTTAAGGTTCATATACCATATAGGGATTCATAGTATATGGGTATAGGGCCCCTACTTTTAACTATCATTTGGTCCTTCAGGTGTTGATATCCTTGGCATTTCCTTTCTTGTGCCTCCTGGTACACCCCAGGCCCTAAACCCTAAAACCTCCGAGCCCTAAACGAATTTCAAACCCTCAAGACAAGCCTATAACCTAAACCCTAAACCCCTAAACCCTAAACCCCTAAACCCTAAACCCTGGCTAGGACTCTCTGCAGAAAATTTACGTGAACTCAGTGTCTGGAGAGTCAGGTCTTTCAGTTGATCCCCAAACCCTAAATTTTAGGGTCTAGGGGTTTAGGGTTTAGGGTTGAGGGGTGTAGGGTTTAGGGTGCCCTGAATCCTTACAGGGTTCCATTAAGGGAACCCTATAGAACCCTAAACCCTAAATAGAACTTGTCGGAGCCCTTAAATCAGTTAAGAAAGAAGAAAAAGAAAGCAAACACAAAAAAATAAAAAATAAAAAAAAAAAAACGTACATAAAAAATGGTAAAGGTACTCTATGAATCGCAGAGTCGCCTCGCGAGGTTCTTGGAGATCGGAATCCGGCAACCTCAGCATTCTGATGTTCAGAAACCTGGGCGGTTGTCAAAATTATGGTCCCTTTTTGGGTCCCTATTATAATACGGCACCTAATATTTAGGGTAACCCAAAGGGGACCATGATTTTGACAACTACCCACCTAGAGTTTAGGGTTTACGGTTTGGGGCTGGAGAGCCCTGATACCAGCGATTAGGGAATAGACCGTAAATTATCGGGCCACTTGAACCAGGAATCCTCCTAAACTTCATATATTCTACCCTAAGGGTCCAGGTATTTCCTTTTGGGTCTCTCTGGGGTCTCAGAAACCCTACATTTTGAGGTTCCCCAATTTGTTAGGACCCTTAGGGTAAACCCTAAACCCCAGACGCCCTTACCTAACATCTTCCAAACCCTAGACCCTACACCAGAAAATGTCATGATTCAAGGTACATTCCCGGAGGGTCCAGATACACTACCATTATGGAATCAGGTCCCAAAAGACCATCCCTATTCTGGTTTTGGGGACCTAATTCCATAACTGTAATGTATATGGACCCTCTGGGATTGCTGAGTTGAGGAGTCACTGTCTTGGAAACTTAGAAGTTCAAGACACAGGCTCTTCTTTGCTCTACTTAACGGATCATGGGATCGGGACACTAGGTTATACAAAAGGTAATAATTCATATAATGCTTAGGTTTATACAAAAAGGAAATAATATAATGCTTATAATTAATAGTAACTACTTCTATTCCTAATTATGGTACTTATATCAATATCCTTACTTACTGACTTGCTGAGTGCCATGATCCTTTAAGTACCCCTAAACTCCCCCTTATAGAAGCCTTATGCCCTGTACTACCCTAGCCGTCGTAGACTGAGACTCCCGGCCCGACGGCGATGGCCTCTTCCAGAACCTCCTGGAAGATTGGAGACTCGCTTTCTTGCATGGGCTACAGTAGTGACGAGGGTTTGTGGTGACAGAGAGTTGAGCGGGATTTAGGGTCTAGAGTCTAGGGTGTGGGGGAGGAGGGGCGGCAGATTGTGTCTATACACATAGTTACGGTCAGGATCAACCGTGAGGGCTTCTTTACAGCTAAGGACATTGGATTCGGATAGGCTTTCACAGCGTCCTGGAGCCTATGGCCCTCTAAGACACCATGAAGATCGTATTGTCAGGACCTTGCAAACCCTCGTAAGTGTCCATCGCAAATCCTTATGAATTCCCAAAGCACGAGCCTTCAACGACGCCCAAGCCTAAACCCCTTGAACCCCTAAACTGTAACTACAGCCACAAGGCCCTAAAGCCTTCAATCCTAAATCCCCCCCCCAAAACCTTGCACCCTAAACCCTAAAACCTACGCGCCAAACCCCACACCCTCAAACCCAACCCTCCGACCCCCTACACTCTAAACCCCAACCCCTATATAGACCCTGCACCCTAGACCCCAAACCCCCCTAGCCCTAAACCCTAAACCCTGAACCTCTAAGCCCGAAACCCTAAACCTCTAAACCCTAAGCCCTAAACCCTTATAAACCCTATACCCCAAGACGCCTCGAGGTCTGCCATCTTCTTCTTCGAGAGAGCGGCTGCCAGACGAGCCCGACAGGCCTTAGTTCAGGGTTCCCTTAAGGGTGCCCTTTTAGTGTTTAGGATTGCAGGGTTTAGGGGGTTTAGGGGTTCAGGGTTTAGGGGGCTTAGGGTCGTAGGGTTTGCCTGAAAGGGTTCCGTTGTAGGGCTTAGGATTAAGCGTTCCTAGCTGGGCTTCCTTTAGGGTGTCTTTTTTCGGTTACTTTGGGTTTGTTGTGTGGTTTTATTGCTTGGGAGACGATGACCCCTCCTAAGCTCCAAGTCCCAAAACTCGAAACCCTGAACTCTGACCCCCGAATGTAGGGGCCTGAAGAGATAGAATAGGGTAATGAGGTATACGACAGTAGAGCTATATGGGGATTCTGACCAGGATCAGCGGCAGCAACAGGGCTAGATTAGAAGCAGACTTACAAGCAATTACCTTACCTGCTTGCTGTTATCCTTCTTCTCCCCCGGTTTTCCAAACATCGCGACACAGTACCCGAAGCCTTAAAGCCCTAAGCCCTGAGCCCTTCCTCAGCACGGAGGCGGCCTGAAGCTCCTGTATATGATGTACGGGCATAGTGTGATTGTGGAACTCTTAGCGTCATAGTTCGCGATCTCAAGATGAGGAGGATGCGAACAACCGGCAGAATGCAGGTCGTTTACCTGGACCCACGACTTGTGCACCCATGGAAGCATGCGATGACAAGCAGGCATCCAGGTGTGCTGAAGATCGGCGGAAGCCTGAATCGCAGCAGCAACAATTCCGGGCCATCGGCCCTTAGGCTGCTCTTTCGCCTGCAATTCGGTTTTGCCTATCAAGACAGGCACAAGGTGTGGCAACTGCCTGGTGCTCTCACCGGACAACGATGTCACGTGAGCTCGTTGGCTATCTAGTTTCGGGGACTTTGTATTACGACAGTGCTCCAACGCTCTATGGCAGTCTAGAAGAACTCGGGGGGTGTTGGCTGGGGGCTTAAACGATTACCCGCGTTACGGGGTCGAAAACACCTACGCTTTGCAAGGCTAGGTAAACACCTGTTAATTGGTCCCGAAACCCTATGCCCCTGTCAGGCCCTAAAGCCCTCAAGAAACCTCACAAAACCATTGAGGACTTAAGGGGTTCCTGTCCAGACCTGCTCCGTCTCGGTCTGGGGGGATTCAGCATCTTGGATTGCAGGTTCACGAGACCCTCGGCTATGGGAGTGCAGCATCACTGCAATAACTATTGCAGCACAGCACAGCCTGCTGTGTTGTCCATAATGCAAGACACAAACTACAAGGAAACACTTCTCTATACTGAACTTAGAACCCTAGAAAAAATTCTGATTTTAGCTGTTTCTTAGGGATAATAATAATTCTAAGTACCCCTAAGTTCTCCCTCAGCGATCACGGAAAAAACAGCCGCTCTGTCTCTTGCATGGGATAATGATAGGGCGGTCAGAGCTTACCATGTTGGTTCGGGGCACAATGCAATGAACGGAGAGTTCTTAGTCGAGTTGGGCTATGATTGAGCCAACACCCAAACCAGCCCTAAACCCCAACTCGGGAGATTTCGGACCCTACCAAGGATATACCGCAAACCCTGAGCCCTACGCTAAGGGTCCTAACAAATTGGGGAACCTCGAAATTGAGGGTTTTTGAGACCGCAAAGAGACCCAAGGACTCTCCCTAGGAGATTCCGGACCCTCCTAGGGAGATACCTGGACCCTGAGGGTAAACCCTGTGAGCGTTATCCTTGTTATCAAAGCTACCTCAACCTTGGGTCTCGAAGGCGACGAAGGTGACCTGGGATGGGCAAATCGATTTGTTGTCAAACCCACTTAGGATTCGGAAAACCTTGGAGTTTAGTGTTCTAGGGCTTAAACTTAGGATTAGGAAAAGCTTGGAGTTTAGTGTTCTAGGGTCTAAACTTATCATTAGGAAAAGCTTGGAGTTTAGGGTTCTAGGGTTTAAGGCTAAAGGTTTTGGGTCGAGGCTTGATGTTCGCAGCTAGTTCGCAAAAGTTGCTCTGTTTCTGCTCCATGCTCTGGTCTTTGTTTGTGGCCTGAGGCATGAGGAAAGTTTTTGTTTTTTGAACTCCCTTTTCCGCCTCAGGTGACCGTCGAGGAAAGTTTAGGGTTTAGGGTTTCGGGTCTTACATGTGCTTTTTCTCTTCAATGCAGGGTCTACAGTTTATAGGGTCATGGAGCTTTGGATGGGTATGACCCCTGAGGGTCTTGAGGTTTAGGATGTATTCTTCGAGGGTCCAGGTATATTTAAGGGCTCCTTTAAGGGTGACTATAGGGGTTCGATAAGGGTTTTGGAGTTTGAGGGTTTGAGGGTCCATGTACCCGAATAGTTTGTACTTTGTCTCAGAGTAATTATAGGGTTTAGGGTTTAGAGTTTAGGGTTTGGGTTTAGGGCTGTAATTACCTTTGTAGGGACTACGTTAAGACCAAAGCAGATACCATTTGGTTACATGGACCCGTAGAGTTTCCCGGAGGGTCCGGAAAGCCCTGAGGGGCACCTTCATCTTTGGGACTGCGAAATTCGAGTCTCGAGGGCTCAGAAGAGCTGTTGGAAACTTGTGGTGTCGTGGTCAACAACAGGATCGATTCAGGGCTCCAAAGATCAAAGATTGCAAAGTTGCAAAGACGAGTATAAGGCTAAACCGCCGGAAAAGTCCGATAGTGCCGCATCATTAGAAAAAAACTAGAAGTGCTGGCCATGTCTAGCATATTCAGGCCTTCACTGCAACCAAGGCACACCTTAAAGCATAAACCCCGAACAGGATCCTCATGCTGAGGTGCATTGTAAATTTTGATGGGGGCCCAAGCCCCAAGGATCCGAGATATGGTGTTTCCGAAAATTCACGGGGGGAGTCCTCATAACGAGGATCCTACCATTGAGGGTACTATATTAGGGTTTCCCATTCTCGGAAACTCCCATATGGTGTTTCAGGTGTTGAGTGCGCCAAAGACCCAGGGCCCTCAGGGCACATCGAATGAAGTGCATCTTGGCCACGACGGATGGGCCGAGCTGCGCGAGAAACTCCTGATCATACAAGGAACAAAGGAGAGGGCCTCGAGGTCGCTTCGTATGTGTGACAGAGAGACACAGAGAGAGAGAGAGAGAGAGAGAGTCAGAGAGAGAGAGCGCGAGGGAGAGGGAGGGAGGGAGGGAGAGAGGGAGAGCGAGAGACGGAGAGCGGGGGAGAGAGCGAGAGAGAGAAAGAGAGGCAAAGAGCGAGCTTTCTGACCCTTGAAGGGACCCAAGGGGCGTCCTAAGGAGATTCCTTACCCTATATTACCAAGAGATACCAAACTCTAAAGCCTCAGCTGAAAGGATCAAGGGTAGATCGGTATAAGCTTAGAGTTTAGGCCTGAAGATATGCAGGGTTTAAGGTTTAGGGTTTTTACTTAGGGTACTTATACGTCTACTTATGACACTGCCTGCCCTGATCCTTGAGACCTTCATTCTCGCCTCAAACAGTAGGCCATTAGGTTTCTAGGATATCATGGAATAGGCTAGGATATCATGGAAGCTGTACAGGTCAAAGCTGGTCAAAGTGTGTAAGGGCTCGAGATACGAATTTAGGCTTTCGGGTTTAGGGTTTAAGCTTTAGGGTTTAAGGTTTGGGTTTAGGGTTTAGAGGTTTAGGGTCCATCGACAAGAAAGGTTTAGAGATGCGGGACGTTTTAAGGTTGATAGGGCTTAGGAATTCGCGTGTACGCAGGCATGGCGAATTTAGCGTTTTGGGGTTTTGGGGGCCATAAGGAAGAGGTTTCAAGCGACGCTACTTATATCAAGTGAAGGTACTTATGTCTCTAATTCGTCTAACCTACTTTTTCGAATCCCCTGATTCTTCGAGTAGGCCTATGGGATTAGTGTGCAGGGTTCCGGTAGGCCTATGCTACTGTAGGGTTTAGGGTTGCTCAACAGACAAATTTGAGGATCAGCTGACTTGGTGACTTCGAGATTGGAAGTACCTCGTTGCGGGGTAAAGATACTTAACTAGGTTAGCGATTTAAAGCCTCTGGAAATCAAATCCTAAGGGGAAATGTGAAATATTCCCAAGGCCTACCTGGTTCATTCTGTCGATTACGAGTAGGAATGGCTATAGTTATCTTGCTTAAGACCCTAGTTAAGCTCCTGAAGGATGAGGGGGTATAGGACAGTAGCTTAGAAGTAGACTTATTACTGGACTTTGAAGTAACCAGGGAGAAAAAGTATAGACGTTAATTTCATAATGGTTCCTTTAAGGAACAGGTACCAATACATATTCAAGTATGGTACTCCGAAGCGAGGGTCTGACCCCCCGCCTTAGGCGTTCGGCTCCGGTTGTGGGAGCACACCTGACCTGAAGCCCCAACGTGCTGAAGCTTCATGATAGGACCTAACCACCCCAAACACAGTCATACCAATATACCCTAAAGCCCTAAGAGCTTTTGGGTATCTAGGCCTAAACCCAAACCTGAATGTCGGCACATTGGAAACCATTCTAAAGCAGACACCTGCAACCATCCTCCTGAAACCAAGCGGATGCCTCGAGGGGGGCGAGGATGCTGTGATGCGAGCATCCTCGTAGCCGACCGGAGCTTATTGCTTAGGGTCCAAGACCGTAACCCTAAACCCTAAACCCTTAACCCTAAACCGATCTTTGAGAAGAAAAGGGCTTCGGTTGATTATTACCAGTGATACACCTTACTACGTCTTTGTATTCGGCCTTGTCGGGCTTAAGGTTGGCTGAGGGCATTAAGGGTTTTAAGATACAGTAGAAGCCCAAGAGTTGGAAACCCCAGAGCCTCCATCCTTAAGAGTAATGTATAGGGAATCCCAGCACTATTTGGCCTTAATCCGGTTTCCAACTTTATGGGGTTTACTGTTGAAGCTTTCGGCTTCCCCGGTCCCTACGGACTCAGACCCTCTTCCAGTTCTGGAATACTAGGATGTCAAGTAACCTAGGAATAAAAGGGGCTCCCGTTTTGGTATTGGGTAACTTTATAAGGAACCTAGGACTACAAGAATGGAATAAGGGTAATACTGGCACCCTAGTGATATAGTTCCCGGAGTCCTAAACCCTAAACCCCCAAACCCTAAACCCTAGGGAGACTATTATAGGTTCCCGGAGCCCTAGGCCTAGTACTGGGCATGCTAAAACATGAGGCCTAGAACAACAGGAGCTTTTAGGGCTTGGGGTTTAGGGTTTAGGGCAACTAGCCAACCTAAGTCCTGCAGAGTTTAGGAAGGGAGTTCGGCTTCACAGGCTTTCGGGTGGGTATCTAAACCCTAAACAACACGACCACTCCTGAACTGGAGTGGGATTCCCTCAACTATCCCTCAGACTGCAGGAATGAAAGGCTAACATGGTTGTCGAGGGTCTATCGGCTTTTGGGGTTTTGACAGGTTCCCCTGCACCGCTCCCGAATGTAGACAGAGAACCCCCACGAGTCCATGTGTCGCAAGACAAACGGCGCAAGCTTTGAAGATCAAAGAAGATGGTAAGCAGGTTGCCATAAGTACCTACAGTCTCCACTGTTGCTGCTTTTTTTGTAAACCAACTCTTGTGCTTCAAACAGAAAGAAAAAAGGCGACGAGTGTACGAGTAAAGCACGACCAACTCGTCGTCAACCCTAAACCCTAAACCCAAAGCCCTCTGAACCCCAAGCCCTCTATGGGCTGGCTGGGATCACAGGACTATGGGGCAACACTCAAGGGACTTAACCTTCGCAAAAATCTTGAAACGAACCTTCGAAAGCCCAAAAACAAAACGAACCTTCGAAAACCACAAAAACCTAAAACCGGTAAAGAAAAGCCCATCGTCAACCCTAAACCCTGAACCCTAAACCCTAAATCCTAAGCCCTGAACCCTAAACCCTAAATCCAAAGCCCTAAACCCTAAGCCCTAAACCATAAGCCCCAAAGCCCGAAGCCCTAAGCCCAGAGGAGGCCTCCCGGCCACGGCTCCTTGGAGACCCCTCCGAGGATGCGCTGCAGGCCTGACACAGGGCCCCAAAAAGGCACATAAGCAAAAATTAGGATAGGGATATCCGATATAAAACCCCTTATGATGAAGCCCAACAAGGTGGGGATATCCCGGTAAAATGCTTATGCTTATGTGCTTTTTGGGTCCCTAATGACACACGACCCAGAGAGCCCACTTGGAGCATCGGGGGACTTAGTAAGGCTCCTAACAGGGATCCTTAAGAAGGGGATTGAAGGGATCAGATCTATAGAAGAGGATTATATAACGGATCTACAAGTCAGGTACGGTATGGACTCTGTAAGTAGGCTACAAATCCCGAAGCTGTTTGGCCGAAATGCTCTGAGGAGCCTGCAATACATGATGAGTCTGATTCTCTCTTTGAAGCAGAAATGCTCTATGAGAGGGTAATTGGAGGCTACCCTAAGGCCCCAAAGTAGTTCCTTTTGCGGGTCCATATTTAGAATCCCTACAAGGCCCGAAACGAACGGTTTAGGGTAAGACTGGGTTTGCAGGTTGCCTCCCCGTACTTTCTTAAAGAATCGCGAGGGTCTCTGAGGGGCTTCAGAGGGGCCTTCTTCATAATTATATGGTTAGTTGTCAGAATTAGGGTCCCTTTTTGGGTACCTTAAATTTTAGGTGCCGTATTACATTAGGGACCCAAAAAGGAACCCTAATCTTGACAACCACCCGTATGGTTGCCTCAACCTGCAACCTGCTATCTCCGATTCAAGCGCATCTCGCCGAGGCGAAACAATTCCCAAAGGGTCCAAGCACCCGAATAGTAGGGTTTCAGGTCCCACAATCCATACTCTGAATGGTTTTTGGACCTTGAAACCCTACTATTTGGGTGCTTGGACCCTCTGGGATTGGCAGCTCACCTGATACGACAAAGTAGATGTACAGACACTGCAAACATACCTGCAGGGTTGGTAGTATGTTGAAAAGCTTTTGCACCAAGGTCCCCACCACCACCACCACCTTAAAATTACAAAAGCCCTTTTGCTTGGTATTCGGCCTGACTAGGGAGACCCCAGAATGAAGAGGGTATCAAGGGTGCCACTGGGCGACGCCATGGAATCAAAAAATTGGATTGATTGTGAAGTGCACAGGGGCCGATTAATAAGCTTGTCATGCTGCGCTGGCTCCGAGTATACGGAAGCCAGAACCAAAGCGAACAAACACCCCCTAAACCCTAAACCCTAGAAACCCTAAAACCCTAAAACCCTAAACCCTAAACCTTAAAATCCCAACTAGGGTTTAGACTTTAGACTTCTTCCAAAACTTACTCAACCCTCAGAGATTCCGGCTTATGTGTTGAATCCTTTTCTAGACCCAGGAGTAACCTAGGAATAAAAAGGGTGCCCTTTAGGGTTTAAAGGGGTTTATAAGGGAACCTGAACTCTGAAAAAGGGAATAAGGGCCTACTCTGGGTCCTAGTTTTGGCGTAGATGAACCTGAAACCCTTTCAGGGTACATGTCGTCCGTAACCCCTAGACCCTAACAAGTAGCTGCGATAGGTTTCATTCAGAACGATTGCAGGTACCCTTAAGGGAATGCTGAAAGGAACCCTTTAACCGTACATGTTGTCCCATACACCTGTAGCTCCAACAACCCCTACAAGATAAAAAGGGGTCTTATAGCTTTTCGGATCTAAACCGTCAGCCCTAAACCAAAGGTCAGACATATCAGACTGCTGGGAACCCAGGCGGAGCCAGGTCGACGTGGTGGTGACAGCGTGCAGCCCGGCGGGCTGCGCATCTGTCAGAAGGTTACTGCTTGGGGTTCATGGCGTATACGGGCTTAGGGTGCATGAGACCCTCTAGGCAGTAGCGCCTTGCTTCGGAACTTAATTAAGGTTAAGACCCGGCTATCAGAAACCAAGGTCACCCCAAACAGGAGCTACGGTTTTGGATCTAGGTCTAGGGGTCTTAGAAGGGTTTCGCGTTTAGGGTTTAGTACTCACTAGACCCGGCACCGTATCTCTGCCGGAGGGTTTGGAAGATGGGCTTTCGAGGATCTGACTTTCGGGGCTTACAGGGGCGTAAAGGGCTAAATCCCTAAGGCTCCATGTACCCATATAGTATATACTTAGGTTTTAAAGGGGTTCCTATACAGGTACTTTGGGGTCTAAGTGTATATTATATGGCTACATGGAGCCTTTGGGAATGTAAGGGGCCCTCATAATTCAAACAGGCTCTGGGGGTGTATATTATACCATCATAATAAGGAACCCCCAAGATAGTATTGGTATTTGTGTAGACCCTATAGAAGGTCCAGCTCGACCTAGCGCAAATGGCTCTTCTGCGGGTTCAAAGCTCGTAGAGCGTCACGTACAATCGAGACTCTGCAGCAGACAGCAGCACACCAACGAATAAAGAGGGTAACGACTTCGATGAGGACCACGGCCGCCAACAACAACGCCAACAACAGGAGCAACGGCGGTTCAAATTGGAACCCTAAAGACTTAAATCCTAAACCCTATACAAACCCTAAAGCCTATAAATCCTAAAGCCTTAGAGACTTAAATCCTAAACCATATATCCTAAAGCCTTAAAGCCTAAAGCCTTAAAGCAGCACTGTGACTTCATGCGAGGCCTTGCGACCGGCGTTGAAATGAAGACGAAGCTGTGATGACTTCGCCTGCAGGTGTTCGGGCATGCAGCGTTCAGAACTTAGGTTTAGGGTTTAGGGTTTCAGGTTTGGGGTTTAGGGTTTAGGGTTTAAGGTTTGGGGTTTCAGGGTCTACGGTTTAAGGTAGGGTTTAAGGTTTAGGGTTTAGGGTTTGGGGTTTGGGGTTTGGGGTTTCAGGTTTTGGGGTTTAAGGTTTGGGGTTTAGGGTTTGGGGTTTCAGGGTTTAGGGTTTAAGGTAGGGTTTAGGGTTTAGGGTTAAGGGTTTAGGGTTTGGGGTCTGGGGTTTCAGGGTTTAGGGTTTAAGGTTTGGGGTTTAGGGTTTAAGGTTTGGGGTTGGTTTAGGGTTTGGGGTTTCAGGGTTTAGGGTTATAGGCTCCATAGTAGTTCCTCTTTGGGGTTCATATCTGAATATCCAGAACCCTATAAAGTAATCCCAAAATAATGAACTACTATGGAGCCTACGGCTACTGTGTCGGCCTTACTTCGAGGTTCAGGAGAAAGGTCCTTCAGAGGGTGCTATAAGGTTCTATAGATGTCTATAGACGTGATGCCTTCGTGGCACCACCTGAAACCGCACAGTGCGCTGCTTTGCACCCATGGCCGGAGAAAAACGATACTGACAGGATGGGGAAAGAGCTGGCGCCTGGAAATTGTACTCCGGGGGGCGGGTTTACCTTAACCTCCCGGACAACCTACGGGTTAAGGATTTGACCAAAGAAATCATAATACAGAACCTTACAAAATTGGTTTTATTTGGCTCAGGTAGGGTATACGCCACAGTAAGTGCTAAAGCCCTAAACTGCGAACCTTGGACGTATTACAGCCCTTGAAAACCCTGTACTCCAAGACCCTGAACCAGTGCCCATAGAAATCGCAAAGCTGCTAGACTCTACACGACAAAGCCCGTACCCAACCTGAACCCTAAACCCAGAACAACAAACATGGACATCAAGACCTTAACCCTATTTAAACCGTGACCAAAAAGCACATAAAATTGCTCCATAACTCCATAACCCTATAGACCCTAAGTCCCAAATCCCTTCAAACCCTACAGCACCCGTATAGTATCCGGAGAGGAACGCGAAACCTTAAACACACCCTGCAGACCCACAACACGAAAATCTGGGTGTCCGGCCAAGTTGGTGGGGCTCCCAAGGTCGATCGTGATTGGCCGAGCACCCTCCTCTGAGAAGTTTAGGGTTTGGGGCTTAGGCTGCAAGAAATTCTGAACTTCTCGAAGGATCATGGGACTTAGTAAAGAACGATATAAGTAACTTATGTAATTGCTAGGTATAACTAACGATTACGGGTTAGACCTTACTTGTACTTCATGGACTATAACCTACTACAACTATTTTGTAGGGTTCGGCGATACAGCTAAAGTAATACCAAAGACGCAATGTAAGCACACGCAACATGACTCCACAACCCTCTAGATTACCAACGCAGCTCTGACATGCAAATAAAATACCCCTTATAAGGGTAAATGTACCGAAATAGTATATACCTTGGCCTTCAAGTACCCCCTGTATATACATACATATTTATATATGTACTTTGGGGCCTAAGTATCTATTACAGTGAAAACCGAATGCCCTCAAACCAAAGAGTAATGCAGAGGGAATCCCAGCACGAATTGTTCTCAATCTGGTTTCCAACTTCTTGGGGTTTACTAGAATTGAAACCCCAGATCCTTAACCCTAAAACCTAAAGGTCCTTTGTTGTAGATCCCTGAAAGGCCCTTAAGGAAGCCTTTATGGGGTTTACTAACTACCTACTATTTGGGTACTTGCACCCTCTCGGTACCACCCTAAGGGTCCAGGTATCTCCTTAGGAGGGTCCGGAATGTCGTAGGGAGAGTCCTTTGGTCTCTTTGGGGTCTCACAAACCCTCACTGAGGTTCCCCAACTTGTTAGGACCCTTAGGGCAGGGATAAAGGGCGAAGGTTTCTGGGATGAGAATGGATGAGAGCTCTGGTGAGAGTTTAGGGTCCAAGTACCTAGTAATCATATACTCTCCTAAATATTGAGCAACATAATTACTATCCTAAGCCCAAGTACCTGCTTATTGGGTCCTTTGGACCCTTAGGGTAAGGTCCGGATCCGAGCAGTGTCCTGAGGCCCTAACCTGCACGCGAAGATCCAGCCCTCAAGCCTAATTAAGATCTAGGGGTTTAGGGGTTGAGGGTTCAGGGGTTAAGGTTTAGGGGTTTAGGGTTTAGAGGTTTAAGGGTTTCGGGTCGAGGGTTTAACCCGAAATTCTAAGCCGTGCCAAACAAAATGAAACCTAAGACCTAAGCCCGCAGTTGTCTAAGCCCTACTGTTGATGATATAAATCCTGCATTACCCTAAGGGCCCTAAACTATGGGAATTATGGTATATTCCTTATTATGGGCCATGCAGGATTTATATCATCAACCGTAATGACGAGTAAAGTTGAAAACTATACAAGCCCTCCACCGAAAGTTCAAAACCCTAGGAAACCCCAAGGGTCCAAAGGGCCAAATAATTTGGTACCCGGTTTTAGGATGGTAGTTATGTAGGTTGAGATTTGGGAGAGTGTATGATTACCAGGTACTTGGACCCTTGGGGGAGTGTCAGGATTTGGGGTTTAGGGGTTTAGGGTTTGGGGTTTTAGAACTTAGGGCTATGATGTGGCGCAACTTGAGCAACTGGCTCGGGTGACATTGTCCAACAGCCTGACTGCAGCTGCAAGTATATTTGTGTCAGCCTCGAAAAGCAGAGGAGCAGAGTCAACATCGTAAGCAGGATGTAGGCTTGTAATACAGTGCTTCCAAACACCGAGTCATTACTAATTCCAGTGCCGCCATGGCAAGTGCAGAGACACCCTCTGCTCGTCAAGAAGGACACGATGATGAGTTCAAGGAGATTGCCGAGAAGACCGTACCAAAGTGGCCGGACAATAAGCCTCAATTCGTCTCTCTGATACGTTCGTGGGCTGACGAACCATCGAAACAACACTGTCGCGAGGGAAAGGTGACATTCAAAGAGGACAGTTCCACGGCCACGGCATACTACCCTGGGATGCAAGCAGAAGTGGACATTCATCATGATGAAGTCCGAAACTGCTGATGTTGTCATGCGCTGGCTCGCAAAAGGCGCTCACGAGGACATCAAAGCTCCAAAGTCATGAATGACATAGGAAACTAATCAACTAACAACATCAGGATGGCCTGCCTATAGAGCGTACACAATATCTGAGGCTTGTGTCATGTCCTGTGTGCGCTTTATATCCCACGCCCCACACCGTGTGTTTGCTTGGTGACTTGCTTCGTGCCTGATGATTCGGAATCGGCAAGGGAGGTTGTTGGGACCCTTGGGGAAACCCTCTTAACCCTCTCTATAGGCCACGACCGAAAGCCCACGCAGAGAAAGAGCCTCCCAGTAGGTGCCCTGACGCGCAGCCGAGGCCTGAACATATCGGAGTTTAGGAGTTTAGGCGGGTTTGGGGGGTTTAGGGGCTTAGGGGTTTTGGGGTTTAGGGGTTTAGGGGTTAAGGGGGTTTAGGGTTTAGGGGTTTAGGGTTTGGGGGTTTAGGGTTTCGGGGTTTAGGGGCGGAAGGGGCTCCTCGTCAGAATTGTACTGCACTACCCTGAATGAACCCTAAAAACCCTTAACACTATACTTCCTATTCTGATTGAACAGCGCCACTTCGGCCAGAGCTTTAGGGTTTCTATGTCTATATAAATACAATACCGCCAATACCCATACTTATATCTATATATTAATGTCGGCTTCTCTAGAGTATTCTCTCTCGCATTCTGTCTCTCTATATACACATGTATGCATACTGTATACAGTGTGTTTACGGCTTGAGGCTTCAAGGCTTTAGGCTTTAGGGTTTTAAGGCTTGGGGCTTGAGGGTTTAAGGCTGAAGGTTTCATCTTTGGGGCAACGAATTTTCAGTGTGGAGTTTAGGCATAGGGCTTCGGGTTTACAGGCTCTAAGCTTCAGGACCCAGGCCCCAACAGCACAAAGTCTTTGTTGACGGGTTAGAGACTTAAGGATTCATGGTTGGAGGCTTTCGTGCCGTGAGGTGTTAGGGATAAGAAATTTAAGGATTTGGGTTTGCATGGAGTTTCGGGTTTCGGGGATAAGCAGTTTGGGAGTTGTGCTGCCGGCTCTAGGTCTCTAGGTACGTCCCTTGACAGGGCGGAATGCCGAAGAGTTCCTGTTTTTATGCCCTGCTTAAGCCAAACGGATACCCTAAGCCCTAAACCAGAATTCGAGACCCCAAAGAGCCGTCCTACTCATGGAGATACTTAGGATTTTAAATATAGCCAGACCCTGAACCGCAAAGAAAGGCTAGCCCTGAATCACAAACATAGTTTACAGGGTTTAGGCCCCAGGGTTTGGGGTTGATGGGCCTAAACCCTAAACCCAAAACCCTAAACCCTAAACCCCAAACCCAAAACCCTAAACCCCTAAACACTGAATCCGAAACCCTCAGCAGCCGAACCTGCAACGCCAGGTCTGCGTCTTGGAACTGCACCTGAGATCCCCGCTTCCGGGCTCAGGGTGCGTGAGCTATTTTGTTGCTTTAATGTGTGGTGCTTGAATTTACAATTCAAAAATCCTCAAAAAGTGCACCTGAAGCCCCAATATCCGAAGCAAAAACGCACTCCAAACCCCCTAAACCCTAAACCCTAAACCCTATCCCTGACACTTCCAAGGGGTTCAGGCTCGAGGGCTCATGGTGCTGACAAAGATTGATTGGGTTTAGGGTTTAGGGTTTAGGGTTTTAGGGTTTAGGGTTTAGGGTTTAGGGTTTAGGATTGCCTTCAAGGCTTCCTTACCAGTACTAAGTGTTCTTCCAGACTTATAGAGTTTCAAAGGTGTTCTTAGGAAAGGGGCCTCAGAAATAGAAAAGGGCTTTGGCGCGCAACATACCATAAATTGCTATACAGGGAGTATATACTTTTCGCGACTTAGTATGAACGGTGCACTCACCAATTCCTCCACAAGCCCTCACCAAGATTTTCAGAACACCTATACCATACGCTGTGGGCCCTGAGCCCAGATATATCAGCCGCAGTGCCCAACTCCCCAACCGTTCATATACTCTGCAAGATACGGTCCTACACTGAAACCTAAGCAAAGTGCACATGCTTTCATTCTAAGCTTTGGTGTGCGACTCTTCCCGAGTCCAACGACCCGAAGCCTTCTAGCTTCGAAACGCTCCCCTTAACCCATCGAGCCGTGTTTAGGGTTTAGGGTTTAGGGTTTAGGGTTTAGGGTTTAGGGTTTAGGGTTTAGGGTTTAGGGTTTAGGGTTTAGGGTTTAACCAAGAGAATCCCACTCCCTAAGTGTCCTTGTGCCCAAATAGTACATACTCGGCCCCAAAGTACCGAGAAACGGACTCTACTTTGCCAAAGCTTTTTTCTATTTGGGCACATGGGCCCATAGGGAATGGATGTGGATCCTCAGGGCGCTGATGTCCATATACACTACAAGACTACAAGTATGGAATTGGGTCCCCTAAATCCATAAATAGGCATGGTCTTTTGGGACCGAATTCCATGATGGTAGTGTGTATGGACCCCTCTGGGTATACTGAAGCAACCCCAACACCAAAGATGGCCAGACGCCCAATCTCCTGATTCTTGGGGACTCTGAGCAGTAATCACCCTAAGGGTCCAGGTATCTCTGTAGCAGGGTCCGCAATGTCCCAGAGGGAGAGTCCTTGGGTCTCTTTGAGGTCTTAGAAGCCTCAATTTTGAGGTTCCGCAATGTGGTGACCCTTAGGGCAATGCGCCGGGCTTCACCCTCAACCCTAAATCCTGAACCTTACTGGAACTTCCCCAAAAGGACCCACAAAAACCTCAGAGGAGCCCCGAAAAGAGACGTCAAACGAACCTTTACAGATCCCTCGTAAAGAACCCTTTTAGATCCATAAAAAAGGAACCGCGTAATAAATCCCTCAAAAGGAGCCCTTAACAGAACCGAAACATAAGGGGCAATAATCATCATAATAGGGTTTAGGGGCCCGCTATACTATACTATAATAGAATAAGGAACCCCCAAAAATAGCATTGATAAGTGTTGAGGCACTTTTCCTGAACCCCCATATTACCCCGGATAGTAATCCTTGTAGATCCCCCTTAGACAGGAACCATTAGAGGAACGCCCAAAACACCCTTCAAACGAAAGCGTATGGGGCCCGCACCAGAGCATATGGGCGCTTAAACCCTAAACCCTAAACCCTAAAGGCCCGCGCCAGAGCATATGGGCGCTTTGAAGCTTCGTCGTTTAGGATGGAAGAGGACACATAGCCAGGGCCTGTGGGCGTCCCAACTGGGATCCGATCGGTTGATGATATAAATCCCTAGGGTTCCTTTCAAGGGATCTATAGGGGTGCTATAAGGGATCTATAGGGATTAGGGTTTAGGGTTATGATATAGAAATCCTGCATTACCTTAAGGACCCTAAACCATGGGAATTGTGGTGCATTCCTTGTTATGGGTCATGCAGGATGTATATCATCAACCGAAGGACCCAATATTAAGGTAATTGGGGTTTAGGATAGTACTGTAGTTATTTAGACCAGTGTTTGGGAGAGTATATCATTGTGAAGTGCTTGAACCCCTAAGTTTTAGCCCAAAGACCATGCCGTGCCAGGCTCTGGGTTAAATTTGTGGGGCCTTAATTAGGACTAGATCTTACCAATTACTCCGCCCCCCCCCCATGTTCACAGACTGCGAGAGTCAGACGAAACAAGTGAGAAAGGTGTGCGACAAATGTACGACTCAGGCTTACCAACAGACCGCGATCTTGTTTCAGAGCCTTGCAATCATGTTTCTGTAAGCTTTGGCTAAAGGTGGTATACCGGCTTTCCATAGTAGGTTTCTCTTGTGCTTGGTTGTAGGGCAGATAGATGTTGAAAAACAGAGGGACCCTGAATATGATTTCAGATGTGCTGTTTTTGTTTCAGGGCTGAGGGTTGGGGCTTCCTTGGGTTACTATTTATGTGGGGCGGTTCGGATTTAGCGAATTTCGCCTGGCTAGCTCAACCAACGGCATTTCTATGGTTGCCGTCTTGCCCCTATCTATATATAATATACGAACAACTTCAACCTTTACAAGTAGTTACAAGCCAACATCCCTGAAGGCCCCTCGCATGTAAGGTCCTCTTGCTCCCTGAATCAACGGATAGGCTTTCTACTTACTGATACTGCGAGGCTCTAAGATCATCTACAGCGCTTAGGAAGTCGGTGTGAGGTTCCTACAACCCTGAACCCTGAACCCTTAACCCTAAACCCTGAACCCTAAACCCTAAACCCTGAACCCTAAATCCCTAAACCCTAGACCCTATAAACCCAAAGCCCCTAAATCTTCTAAGCTTCCCGCAGGCGGAGAAGAGGATGTGAAGCTCCCTCTGCGTGGCGTCTTCCGAAATTCCACAGACCTCGGAGTTAGGAAGATTCCCTTTAAGGGCCCCTGCAAGGGTGCCTATAGAATTTAGGGGGGGTTCCTTCCGAACCACCATGTTACGGCCTTCACAATAAGACTTTGGGGTATAGAGCAACAAATTACGGACTATAACTAACGATTCCATGCCTGTGTTACTTCGCTTGCGTGGCGTGTTTGGAGGCTTCGATTCGGAAGCATAGTAGTAAGCACACAAAGCCTACAGGAAACCTGCTACAGGGCTCCATGAGCCCATATAGCACAAACTTTCGCCTTAAAGGGGTTCGTATGTAGGTACTTGAAGGCTGACGTACCGCTACTTCAGGGCTCATGAACGTATACCCAGAGCATGTAACCCACCCTTTCTTGAAGAGCTTCAAGTATCGTGACAGAATGTCCTGACTAATTCCCCGCCCTGCAAGCGACCAGCCCCCTGACTCGTAAAATAGAGACCCTAATACATACCTATGCTATTTTGGGGGGGTCCTCATTATAAGAAGTATAGTATAATGGGCCCCAAAACCCTGTTCTAAAAACAAATTACACCCGAAATTTGCAAGCCTGAGCCTCGAGAGACAGCAACAGAATGAAATGTAGACAAGAGCCGCATAAAGCCCTAAACCTCATCTACCCTAAGGGTCCTAAAAAAAAATAGGGGAACCTCAAAATTTAGGGTTTCTGAGATCCCCCAAAAGACCCAAGGACCCTCCCTAGGAGATTCCGGACCCTCCTAAAGAGATACCTGGACCCTTAGCCGTAGGGTAAAACCAAGATTGCTTTGGGGTTAAGTTTGGGATTAGTGTTAGGGCTTTTAGTGTGCTGCGCTGTCTCGGAGCCCAGCAGAGAGGCAGTTCAGCTGCTCACCGAAAGGGAAGCACGAAGCCCCTGGAAGCATAAGGTTCAGGGTTTAGGGTCGACGGTTTAGGGGGTTGGGGGTTTGAGGGCTTAGGGGTTTAGGGTCGAGAGTTTAGGGGTTTAGGGTTCAGGGTCGAGAGATTAGGGGTTGAGGGTTTAGTGATTTAGGGTTAGGGTTAGGGTCGAGGGTTTAGAGGGCTGGGGTTGAGGGTTTAGGGCTTTAGGGGTCTAGGCTTTGGGGTTTAGGGTTTAGGGGGTTTAGACAAGTTTGGGGTTGAGGGATTTAAGCTTCAGGGTTTAGGGTTTCGGGGGCTGGGGTTGAGGGTCTAGGGGTCTAAGCTTTAGGGTTTATTAGGGGTTTAGGCTTTAGGGTTTAGGGGTTTAGGGGGTTTGGGGTTGAGGGTGTAGCGCTGAAAGATACCGAAGCAAAGGGCCGAGCGCAGGAAATCACACAACTTGCTATATGTAGGTCTTCGAAAATTGGGGGACACCCAAATTTCGGGGTCCTTATTATCAGGATCCTACTATTTTTAGGTATATACTATATTAGGGTGTCCCGTATTTTCGCAAACTCCCATGCTAATGGACCCTTGCAGGGAGATCCCAAACCGTCAGCCCCCAAAGTCCAAACCCTCCCTCAGAAAGCCCATGCCCCCCTTACGAGGCTTTGGGAAATAATTAAGAATGGGCTTTTGGTGTAAGTGTTACTATGCTTTATCGTGGCTCCCCACGGGCTCGGTTTCGGACACATACTTGTTAAGAAGCGGAATAGGGTGTTGTGGCAATTATATTCCAATCCATAACATGGTTAAGAAATCCTAATGCTAACGCCAGCTCAATTTTGATAATTTTTGAGCTACAAGTAAAAACTCAATAACCCCTCAGTCATGAAGGTAGCCGTTTTCCTACTATTTGTTTCTTGAAAGGACGCCGAAAAACAAACGAGAACAACTATTTCTGGGAGACCTAAGTAAGGAATCCTCACCAGCCCCACTACCGCAACCCCCAATAACCCCACTCTTTGAGGGCCTCACATAAAGAAATCATACTGCTGATGGACAAAACCCTGCATTACCCCTTATAAGGAGTATACCATAGTTCCCATAGTTTAGAGTCCGTAGGGTCATGCAGGATTTCGTCCATCAACAGTAACAAGGGACGTTGAATCCATGCACCATTAGACCCAAGTCCGAATCAGGGACGCACTAAAGAAAAAGCCCAACGTGCTTAGAACATGTGGGAGTTTCCCAAAATAAGGGGTACCTTATTTGGGGGTCCTTATAAAAAGGATCCTACTATTTAAGGTACTGTATTAGGGTCCCCTATTTTCGGAAGCCCCCATGTGTCTAGAGTCTAGAGCCCTTTAAACCCTTAAGCCCCCAAGCTTGCCTCTTGTCGCCGCTTCACCGAAACTAGCTCTCCGTGGCGAATTCGAAGCCACCATGGTCCCTGGCACAATGCGCAAACAACAGCTGGTGATACTGCTGATGCGCAGAATCCTGCATTTATCTATCATCAGACCTACCCAGTATTCCTACCGCAGATTGAGGCGCTTGGGCCCAAAGATCTTCAATTCTTTGATGCACAAGGCGTTGGGGTTACTTTAACCCTTCCGGCTTACCTTCATCAACTTCTGTTTTGGTGCTTTCTGGTCCCTAAAATTGACGAGTTCAGGGTTTTCGGGGGTTCAAGCCTGAGAAATTCAGACTTGATGGGGGTCCCGGCTTTGGGCTTCGGGCGGTTAGGACTAACTTAACATACCACAACCACCTTCTTTGTAGGGCCCCTACGAACTCCAAAATAGGGCTTGGCAAAAGAGCCTACAAAAACAGGGTTTGGTAGCATCAGGTGCGACCTGAACGACAAACACTGCCGAACAACAGTTTCTTCTGCACCCGACCCTCTGCCCCAACATGCCTCTATCTATCTAGTGTAGCCAGTGAACCTGGTCAAGTAGGACCTGACTTCAAAACACAGGTCTGATCACACAACCCAAATTAGGGTCATGAAAAAGCACAACCCTCTTCCGAATCGAGCATCCCTGCTGGATAAGCCCCTACTACCCCTAGAAATGACTGTAGCTCGTGAAAAATTTAGAACTCAGCCTTTCTGGTTTTCGTTTCCTGCTAAACCAACTGCACTGACTGTTCCCAGAACCTCGCGACTGTTCAGCTAGAAACCGATCCTCAATGCGGTACCCGTGATTACCACGAAGCCCCGTGTACACAGATAGCGATTGGGAGACCTCAAGACTACGTACACCCTAAATCCCAAATGCTGGACCCAACAAAACCTGAACTTCGAAATCCTGAAATCCTAAAACCCTCAACAACCCACAGCCTTCAACACGCAAAACAACTATTTGATAGTGCTTCGGGTCCCGGGCATTAAACCCTCGAAGCACTAAATCCCAAACGGTGAAGCCCTAAACCATTGTTCAAAGGTCGGAAGCCTCGCACAAATGCTGCCGCGAGGATGGGTGATCGTTCATGTGCAGTGACAGACTTTCAGTTCCGGTGCAGGCATTTCGTGATACGATATACGGGTCTAATTAAGGCTAAGAGAGTGCCTTGCGGCTATAGGGCTCAGGCATAACCGAACGGTTCCCTAAGGGCTTTGGGGTTTGGGTCTTGATGTATTGGGTTCATGGGTCTGGGGTTTCATGCTCGATGGGTTGCCACTTAACGTTTCGTTCGATTCGCGTCTCCTGAGACCTCAAACCTCAACCCACAAGCGCTATTTCAGAGACTCCAAAACCCCTGAATGAGGGAATGTAGCTTAAAAGCTTCGAGAGATCCTACGAACATGATTTTACGGGGTAAGGGTATGTTCTTGATCAAAGGGTTTGGGAGACTCCGGGTGTGGCTCCACAGCCAGTTTTGGTTTAGGGTTTAGGGTCGGGCGTGGGTTGAGGGTGTCGGCTTTCATATATAGTGAACCCCAGACAGTTGAAACGTGGATTTAGGATGATTAGTGCGAGGATTCCCTCTACTTTACCTTAGGGGCATGGCGATAATGATGTTCCAAATTTCTCGCTTCTACTATATTGCGACGCGGATCGCACGGCACTGTTGAGATGCGGCGGGGACGCAGGCGATGCGACTCCATAACCGAGCTACCTAGTGGTCCTACCCTAAGGGTCCTAACACATTGGGGAACCTCAAAATTGAGGGTTTCTGAAACCCCAAAGAGACACAAGGACTCTCCCTAATTAGGACATGCCGGACCCTCCTAAGGACATACTTGGACCCTTAGGGTAGTATTGGGTGCCTTAGTTTCTTATTGGTGCCAAATTTGGATAGCATAGCCTCTTATTCGTCCCAAGTTTCGGATACCCTAGTTTCCGGCTATCGGCTCAAAACAGGAAAGCTAAGTTATCCCACAAAAAGAACACTAATTACAGCCTGGGGTCGAGGTTCTATAGGGGTTCCTTTACAGGGATCCGTAAGTAAGGGTTCTATAAGGGATCTGTTTAGGGTTTAGGGGATAGAAGATGGCTTTGATCCTGTCTCCCTCTCTGGTTTCGCATCCATTGTTTCTAACAACAGTTCCCTCACAAACAAGCTCGATCATATGCGACTCCAGAAAGGCTCTACACCGCTACACCTACCTGTGAGGGCTCCATTGTTCATTCTACTGCTGATGGACAAAATCCTGCATGACCCTTTATAAGGAATATACCATAGTTCCCATAGTTTAGAGTCCTTAGGGTCATGCAGGATTTTGTCCATCAGCAGTATCACTCAAGATGCTCAGAGGCTTGAGTTTCGGCCCAGCCACATAAAGGAAGCGAAAGCATATGGGTAGTTGTCAAAATTGGGTCCCTTTTTTGGGTGCCCTAAATATTAGATGCCGTATTATAATAGGGACCCAACGAAGGGACCATAATATTGACAACCACCCATATCTCTAAGTCTCTAACTACTCTGTCTCTCTCTCTCTCTCTCTCTCTCCCTCTCTATCCCGCGCTTTCCCGTCAGCTTCATGTTGATTGTGTTTTGCTCTTTCAACACAAACCGACGTGGTGCTTGCATTTGGGTTCGCACTCTCAAAACTGAAGCCTCTCTCTTCGGATAGCCTCCGCAAACGGCAACTGCAGAGGTCTGAATAATCATAGTGGTATCATCTTACCCTGGGCATCAAAATAGCCCAAATGCTTTATATAATATGGTCTTTGGGCTCAAAAGCCTTTTTATATAGTCCTTAGATGCCTAGGGTTAGACTGGGCTTTGAAGTCACCATGGAGAAACAGTTATATAGTTATATAGGACTTTATCTCATTAGTACTCCCTTCAAGTAGCACGTCCCAGCTAAAGTATCGTACTCCAAAGCGCTGTGTAATCCCTACATATTTACACCACAATACCCCAAGGGTCCAAGTACCCAATAATCATATACTCTCCAAAATCCTAACCTACATAACTACTATCCTAAAACCGAGTACCTGATTATTGGGTCCTTTCGACCCTCGCGGATATAAGTCTCATCCAAGAGATGGCAGAGCGAAGGCAGGGCCCTGGGAGGAACCTCGTGATTCTTCGAGCTCAAGCACGCATCCAGCGCAGCCTGGCACCCGGAGACTCCATGTATCACTGTTAAAGGGATCTATAAGGGATCCTTTCAGGGCTCCTATGACGGATTTATTTTTAAGTCCGCCATACGCCACCCACACTTCTTTTAAGAAGATGTAGGAGACGCCAATATCCCTGAATCAAGGAGTATATACCTTAAATCATATTAGGGAACCCTAAGGGTCCAAGTACTGCTCCCTATTATAGGACATTGGCCCTGTTTGGGCACCAAAAACCATACATAAGGACCACTTGGACCCTTAGGGGAAGGGTTCAGGGTTGAGGAGAGTTTGAGGGTATGGAGTCTGAGTTAACCAGGACCGCCCAACTGCGGTGGGGGGGTTCCTGTTATGGATCATGTGTGGTGCGTTCGGCTCTCGAACGGGATGATTTGGTCACCGTGAAGGCCCAAATGCCTGAAGAAAAGCCCCAAAATCATTAGTCCAAACCTTGGGCCGGATATAAGTCAAACACCAATCTAAGCACATGGCACTTCGTCAGCCCGTAAGGTTTGCAGTGGCTACAATTGGCGCTCTGACGTCGGGCCAAAAGGGACGAAATTTAGCACGGCAGCTGCCTGATTTCAGTAGCGATGCGATCAGCCTTACTTCTTCCTTGCAGTCCGGCTTCGAGGCCCTTGGGCGAATCACGCGTGGTGCGGCGTGACTCGGACTCGGGGGTGGACAGAGCTGCTAAACCACCACCCCCCCCCCCAATAAAAAAGGCAAGGAGTAACATCATTGAAAAACACGATACGACGCTTATCGAACCCTACCTTAGGGGTCCAAGTACCTAGTAATCATATGCTGCCCATGATACCAACCTACGTTACTGCGATCCTAAACCCAAGTACCTAATTATGAGGCCTTGTCGACCCTAAAAACCATTGCAAGCCCGACAAAGTCTTTCAAATTCCCTTATGGAGCCTTTTAGAAGAACCCATAACCGTATAGAACTTCATAGAACGTTATACGAAACACGAAGACGCGATGAGTCCCCATGTCAACCCAACAGAAGAATCCCCAAAACCTAGTTCTTAAATCCGAACCTCAAAATGCCAGCCCCTGACCCCGAACCCTTACCCCAAAGCCCCAGCCCCTACCTGAAACCCAACTCATCTGCCTTTTTGGGTCTCCTTGTTATGATTTGTTTATATAAGTCCTAAAAGAGGTGGGTTACTTGGTGTTAAGGTAAACCCTAAGCTGAAGACCCTCGAAACCCAAAAACATGGAGTCCACAAGGGGGCCTCGCAAGTGCCGGCAACTCGCCAGCCATTGAAGGCCGGCAGCAGGTGGTGTCCTCAAGTGAGCTGCGGTTGATTGAATGCTTATTTGCGGCTTGTGTGAGGGTGTAGCGTTTAGTGCTTAGGGCTTGGGAAGGTCGAGGGTTTGCCTTTTTGGAAGCGTCTGTACAAAACTTTAATGGGGTTTACTGATCAAGGGGTTGCATAAGGGCCTAGTTGGGGGGAGGAGTGGTTGAGCGTTGTCGCTCTCTTTTTATTTGTACCGCACATCAGTTTGTATGGTTAGGACCCAGTATCACATGTGGGTTAACCTTAAACGAACTACAACCGAGACTATAGGTATGGCCCACGTGGCTTTCTAGCTTTGTGCTTTTCGGGAATAGAGGCTTTGGCGTCATAAGATAGGCCAGCCTAGGACTGTTGATATTATAACCTTGGGGTTATCCGCAAATTATCGAAAGATTAGTAACTAGTATTTTTTGGGATATATTAGAAGCTACTTGGGGGGTCTAGGAGGGGGTTGAGGGTTTGGGGTTTTAGGGTGTGTAGGATTCAGGATGTTCGGGTGTTCCTAAGGCCCGCTTAGGGCTGTAGGGTTTAGCCGACCGACCCCTCTGTACAGCATCACTTGGAGGGTCGGGGGACTTAGTAAGTAGGTAATAAGTAGAGTTGTAAGTACCCGCGTAAAAGGGACCCTAATTGGGGTTATGGTTCTTATAACTCTACAAAATAACTACTTAGCCACCCATGCTGGGCTCCCCCGACTGCAGCTGTGCTTTGTGTGGTTGTCCACTCGATCGCCTTAGGTTCAGTCAGGCTATGGGATTCCTGGGTTCGGGTTTAGGGTTTGGGGTTTAGGGTTCAGGGTTCAGGTTTGGGATTCCGGGGTTCAGTCTGGGTTTATGAACGCTTTCAGCGTAGCTGTCAGGGGCCAACCCTTCAAGCTTCAAGCCATGTACCTATAGTCTCCATTGTAGTTCCTTTTTTGGTTTGAAGAAAGGATCCTATAAGCTAACCCCAACAAGGTGAAGCCGTAAACCGAACAACGAAAACGCAAAGCCGACGGCGCTTCCTCCTTCCTGTCCAAGGACGCGGGGGCAGGCACCATTCTTACATACTGCATCTGTCAGCCCGATAACTTCCTGAGTTGTCCTTTAAGCCCTTTGAAAATTATTTACTATTATGGTTCTCTACAGAATAGTAGGGGAAATTTGAAATTAAAAAGATCCCAAAGGACAACCAAGCTTCAGATGCCCAGAGAGCCCTTCCGAATCCGGGGGAGTGGGAGGCTCTGGGAATAAAGCAAGGGATCTCGTCTTATACTGCACGTCGAGAAGGCCAATACAAGGCGATGTCACCATCAGGTACAATTATCTGCTTGCGTCCTCTTACAGACCCCAAAATAGCAAAAGCTTTTGATGGATCTTTTTGAGGAAAGCATAATAAGGATCCACAGAATCTGATAGAACACCTCACTGGCCCAAAGCCCAACAGAACAAAAGTTGAAACTTTCAGAATCGACTACCTTGTAAGAACCCCAAGAGTTGAAAAGTTGAGTTTACAGCCAACAAGAAGCAAAGCCTCACAGTGTTTAGGAAAGCCAGGACGCACTTGGAGCCGCAGCAGGGGCAGACGGCATCGCAGCCTTTGATCAAGTTCCACACCTGTCCGAACGAAGGAGGACGACGTTTTCGGTTTGTTTCTTTTCTTTGTTTATGGGCACTTTAGGGCTTAGGGTTTAGCTTACATACACCCCTAAATCATCAGCTACAAGGTTGCATAGTCCATGGGAGTTTCCGCAAATCACCGATCCTAATAGAGTACCCGAAATAGTAGAATCGTTATGACAAGGACCCCCCAAAACAGTAACCTTAACTTTCGCAAAACCTCTACAGAGGTTCCTGGAGCCAAGACTCAAGGCTCCCTTTCGAGGCTTACCGTCTTGCGATGCTTCGGACGTCAGGGTGCAGGTCTTTCTTTAGGGTTTAGGGTTTAGGGTTGACAGGTCTTCTAGACCCAAGAGTAACCTAGGAATAAAAAGGGTGCCCTTTTTTGTTTAAAGGGGCTTATAAGGGAACCTGAACCCTAAAAAAGGGAGAAAGGGCCTACTCTAGGTCCTAGTCTTTCTTTTGGTAAATTGGGTTGACGCTTGCTAGGATGCCCAGTAACCTAAGAATAAAAAGGCCTCTCTTTTTGGTATTGGGTAACTTTATACGGAACCTAGGACTACGAAAAGGGAATAAGGGTACTACTGGGCAGCCTAGTTTTGGTAAATTGGGTTGACGCTTGTTTTTTTAATTTTTTAATTTTAGGGTTTAGAGATCAGATCAGGGTGCAGAGTTTGGGGGTTTAGAATTTAGCGCTTGGGGTTTGGGGTTCAGGGTATATGTAGGGTGTTTCAGACTGGATAAACGATCTAATATAGGGTTTAGGCATGTTGAGGCTTTGGGTTTGCCTACATTGGAAGTCTGTCTGGTTTTGCAAACCAAGGTGTACGGGGTTAGGATCCCATTGTAAAGTATATATGCATGCGTTTAACCAAGAAATGGAACCAACATGGAGACTATAGGTAGGGGTCTAGAATCTGACGTTGAGGGATTAAGGTGTAAGGCTCAGGGTTTAGGCACGTAGTAATCACAAGAGTAAATTACGAACATGTGCACCAGACGAGAAGCTTTCTGAGCTCTTCTTCACTTCTTCTGTCCGCGAAGCAGACGACAAACACAACTGAAATCCTGAACAGCAACTGTACACTCCAGAACCACAAGCCCCAAAGCCCCGGCCCTAAACCCTAAACCCTAGACCCTCCGAGCCAGCCTGTGTCTGCTGCAAATGCAGGGCATTTTCCAATTTCTGTGCCACCAAGGTATCCACTTCCGCCTGAACATCGGAGGTAGGGTTTAGGGGTATATGGTTGAAGTGCTTAATGGCTGCACGAGGGTTGCTTTCTCAGTTGCTTCAGAATAGCTTGCAAACAATCGGAGCCCCCCAAGAAGGTATCCTACCACTGGATGGGTTACGCCATGTCCAAATGTCTTCTGCCAGGACTCTTTTTGTCAGATTCCTAAGGGGGCTGAGAAGTATACCTCTCAAAACCACATCGCCCTGCCTCACCGAGCAGCGATGCCAAGTGGAGCCCGAACTCATGGGCAAAGTGATTTGCATCCTGGACGTGGTAATTCCAATAGCATGAAGTATATAGTCTTCGTATATACATAAAGATATATTATGTAGGTATGTACAATTTGTAAGTTTAAGTTTGGAGCGAACCCTCTTTATGGGATGCCGTCGTTCCATCAACAGCTGCATGCTTCAGACAGTCGAGGGTTTAGGAATTTATGTTAAGTGTCACCGGCTTGCTGAAATTCTGAGCCAAGCAGGCAGCTGACCCTAAACCCTGATATTGTTCGTGCATATATCCCCAAGAGCCCTGAAGCCTAGGCCTCCTGTCGGGCTCAGGACTTAGAGGGTGCGTGCCCTAAGCTGCCCCTAAACCCTAAACCCGAAGAAGTAGCTTAATATGGGGGCCTTAATAATTCAAGTAGGGTTTGGGGGCCCATTATACTACAAGTATAGTAAGAAGCCCGCCAAAACCGTATAGGAAATGATTGAGGCCCCTATAATACCAAAGAACCACCAACGTTCACTTTGACACCGACTCCTCGCCCTGAAGCCTTAAGCCGCTCTTAAAGGCTTTAAGCCTGAATGTACCTGCCCTTCACCCCAGCTCAGCTCTATATCCGATACAACAATGAATCTCAAACCCTACTGAAAGAATGAACCGGGGCTACAACATCACATACCCTAAGTAGCTAACTGTAACTCTGACTCTGCCTATAAGCTAGTTATTTTCCTCGATCCTTCCATCTAGGAAAAAATAAGAAACAGGCTCTAACCCAGAGCCCGCAGACAGAAATCCGCAACTGCGGTCGCCGGTTGTCACTGCACGCAAAGTTGGTCGAACACTACTTACACTGCTTTTTCCATGCTGCACTGGTTGGGTGTGTCCTGGCTCCACCAGAGAAGTGACTGACAAAACTATGCGGGGACAGACTCGAAAAAACAAACGGCCGTATGCCCCAAACCCTTAACCCAAGCGCACTAAACCTGAACCTCTGGACCCGGAAAGCACTGAAAACAGTGTACTCACCCGCACAAAGCCTTGACCCGCTACAAAGCGACGAGTACGAAGTATAAGAACGGCTAACACACGCTCCCTCGCCCTCCCCCCGGCCGCAATGTCGAAGTCGGCGACCACAGGGAATCGCTCGGACAGCAGAGGCCAGGCCTGCAAAAGGCTTTGGGTTATAAGGTCTTTCAGAATGGAGTCTGTCTTTAGGGATCATGGTCCGGGAATTGGGGGTGTGATCTGAAGTTTGACAAATTGCGGAGACTCCAAAGACCCCAAGAGCAGCAAGGGCTTAGCGCTCGATTTTCGGGTGTTGAGAGTTTTCATTACCGATCTAAACGACCTAATGATTAGTTACCTAGGGTGGGTGATTTGCAAACTATGCACCCCAGATTTCCTAAACCCTACCAGAACCCGAAAACGCCTACCCTTTGTCGGGACTTATATCCAGAAACCACCATGAGGAAACTTAGAAGGCCGGCTACTTTGGATCCAAGTAGACCCTTCAACCCTCAAGCTCTACACCTCTAGACCTCAAAACCCTGACCCTCAACCCCGAAACCCCTTAAAACCTTAAACCCCAAACCCTATAGATCCCTTAAAGGAACCATTAAAGGAGCCCTTAGGAACCCTTTTAGATCCCCTTAAAGGAAACCCTAAACCCTACCCTGGCCCTGCACCCTCCGTCGCCGAAAACTTATTGGCTGTAAACTCAACTTTTCAACTTTTGGGGCTCTTATAGGTAGTCGATTCTGAAAGTTTCAATGTTCATTTCCCTGGTTGGCCTTTAAACACCCTGAAAAACATTTATATATAGGGTCCCTTATAAACCCAAATAAGGAAAATTAAAAATGTCCCAAAATCCAACCTAGTTCGTTGGTTTTTGGGTAAGACTTCCATCCCTGCCTTGCCGTCCTTGTGCCCCGACGCGCGGGCCTGCCGCAGCTGTGTTCGCGACCCGAAAACTGGGTTTAGGGGTTTTGGGATTAGGGTTTAGAGGCTCATAGGGATAAGGGGTTTAGGGATTAGGGTTTAGGGGTTTAGGGATTAGGGTTAGGGATTAGGGTTTAGAGGTTTAGGCCCGAAAACATCACATGCCCGTGCTTTTCCACTTCTGGTGGTCCCGCTGGGCTCCATGGGGCTTGCCTATAGACTATATTAAAATGTGACCTACGTCTTTTGCTCCTTGTTCGATAAGGTGGTGGCCAGGGCGCCAAATCAGAAACATAAGCTATACAAAAAACACATGTGATAGGTTTTGGGCTTGAGGAAGGCCTGAAGCAAAAGCCAACGCAAAACCTGAAACCTCGAGCTCTCAAACCAGCCATCCTGGATCCCTAAACCGGCGGCACACCTCGGCAGCAAGGTTTCGAATGAATCCTTGAAGCGCCGACAGCTTTGTTCGGCGACCGCCCTGAGGCAGAGAGGTTGTGGATCGAGGGTCTAGGGTTTGGGGCTAAAGGTTGAGGTGTCTTTTCTTTAATCAACCTTTTCCCTTTTTTCTTTAATCAACCTTTTCCCTTTATTCTTAAATCAACCTTTTCCATTTATACCAAAATAAAGTAACGGCAGCAAATATCATAGCAACGGAAATCTGAACAGAGCTTCTGCGGGCTTCCAGTTGTGTTGTGGTGCAGAGCAGCAGAGAGTCGGCAGGGACTTTGGAGTTTAGGGGTAGGGTTTTAGGGTTTAGGGTTTCGGTTTTAGGGTTTAGGGGTTTAGGATTTAGGGGTTTAGGGGTTAGGGTTTAGGGGTTAGGGGTTTAAGGGTTTAGGGGTTTAGGATTTAGGGGTTAAGGGTTTAGGGGTTTAAGGGTTTAGGGGTTTAGGGGTTTAGGGGGGCGGATTTTCGCATCCGATCAGGGTGCCCAGGAACCAGGGGCCTGAATCCACTTCAGCATGCCCCTTTCAGTTGCTGCAAACGGGTTTAGGGTTTAGGGTTTAGGGTTTAGGGTTTAGGGTTTAGGGTTTAGGGTTTAGGGCTGCGGAAGTGGCTCTGCAGGAAGGACTTGAGTTCTAATGCATCGTCCGTTGTTGTACTGTTTCTGCTCCCCCTTTGAAGCAGCAATGCTCAAGCCCAAGACCACGCCTTCACCTACCTTCCTTCCCTGCACAGAAATGCCCAGGGGACTTTGTAAGCAGGCTACAAGAAAAGTTACGTGCCTAACTTGGGATGTCGTACTCATTACTGTCCTTTCAAAATCCTTACTCAGCCCCCTGACCCTACAGATACAAACGAAACCCGCAACCCTAAACCTATAACCAGAACTTGGAGGGTCGGGGGACTTAGTAAGTAGGTAGTAAGTAGACTTATAAGTACCCTAAAAGGGACCCTAATTGGGGTTATGGTACTTATAAGTCCCTAAAATAACCAGTTACTAAGTCCCCCGACCCTCCAAGAAGACACTATCTACACTAATCTGGGAATAGGAGCCCCATAAACAAAAGGACCTTGACCGATGTGCTGTTGCTCACTGGGGGGGGAGATTTCAGAGGAATCAGGTGCAGAACTCTGCCCTAAACCCTAAAGGCTTTTTTGAATGATCTTGCTCACGGCTTCATATAGAGGAAGGTGAAGAAAGTAGGATTTCCCTCAGGGTCCATGTTCCCAAAAATATCATATGCTTTGGCCTATATAGGGGCTGCTTTAAGGCCCAAGTATATACTGTTGGATCCTTTGGGATACGGCTGGACGCCACTAATTGCAGCACTAATTATCTCTATACCTCCTTCTCCACTATCCTGCAAAACTCATGGTTGACCCTTGGGATCATATTGGACTTATATAAGGATGATAGTACCCCAAACGGGTTAAAGGTTACCTATGTCGACTCTACCGGACTCTTACGGAGTCCGTGCGTGCGCACATAAGTTGCCAACGGGCCTGTACCGAATCTCCTTTCGAAGCAGCCTGTGCCCTGCAAAGATCTCAAACCCGGAACCCTGCGTGGGTAGTTCTCGAAAGCAGTGTCCCGTATTCGGCCCCAAAAATTTCACGGCACCATGAACAGGAAAAGGGACCCTCATTTGGAGAACAACCCATAAGTACCTTAAACCTCTCTGCCAAAACCTCAATAGGACGCGAGAGACAAATCAAACTCAACCCTAAACCCCTAAGCCCTCCTAAATCCTAAACGCAGCACACGAGACCTAAACGCAAGAGTCCATCGTCTCGTACAGAAACTAAGCCCAGAGTTCAAAAGCCTCAATGAGACCAACCCCCAAGCCCCTAAACCCCTAAACCCTAAACCCTAGAATTTGACTCAAAGCCAGACCCCTCAGTCTTAAAACCTAAGCCCCAGACCTTCAATCCTACATCCTGGAAAACTCTATACCCCTAAGCCGTTCATCGTAAATCCTGAATCCTATAAATCCTGAGCAACTCTAAACCCTCAACCCGGAAACCCTGGAACCTAGACCCTAAACTCTGAACAACTCTTGACCCTCAGACTTACTTCCCCAAGAAGCCAGAGAAATACAAGGTTAAACTTTCCGATTACCAACACACTATAACAGCCCAAAAAGTTTAAAGGTTGGGCATTGGGGAACTAAGCAGAACTCCGAGCCTTCTGACCACCAAATCGGTGGATGGCGCCAGTGAGGGCATCGAAGAAGGAACCCAGCTGATCAAGAGTTTCAGGGTGTACCCTAAGGGTCCAGGTATCTCCCTAGAGGGTCCGGAATGTGCTAGGGAGAGTCCTTGGGTCTCTGTGGGGTCTCAGAAACCCCTCAATTTTGAGGTTCCCCAAAGTATTAGAACCCTACCCTAAACCCTAAACCCTATACCCTAAACCCTAAACCCTAAACCCTAAACCCTAAAAGAAACCCCTCAATTTTGAGGTTCCCCAAAGTATTAGGACCCTTACGTTAGGGCTGGGGGTTTCAGGGATCCGAGCTTCGGGTTGAGGGACGTTTAGGGCTTAGGGTTCATGGGATCAACCCTAGGGTTTAGGGTTGATAGGGTCTTATAGGGTTCAGGGTTTATGGACGTTTAGGGCTTTGGGTTCGGTGTCAGGTTCATGGTTGAGGGTTTCGTGTTTAGGGCTTAAGGGCTTAGTGTTTTGGTTCCCATACTCCAAAGCAAGCCTTAATGTAGGAACCTGATTAAGAAACCTTGGACCTTTATTGGGGCTCCTTATATGAACCCTACTTTGTTGGGGGTTACAGGCCCAGAAGCTGCTTAACCAGGTTCCTACATTAAACCTTAAAAGCCGCACCATAAGATTTAAGCGGATTGAAAAAGGTCGAATTCGGATTTTCGGGTTCTGCAACGGATCAGCGGTCAAGGGCTCCTGCCTCAAATAAGGCTTTTGGCGTCGTTTTAGGGAAGGCGCAGATTAGCTACACCCTAAACCCGCAAACTGTATAGCCCAAGGGGTCCTAGGAACTGTGATAGGGGATACTTCCCCAAATCATGATAGCAATTCGTAATACAGAAACCCCACATTCTACCCTATAGGTACCTTGGGTAGTTAGTTTGAATCCTCGGGGTCTGAAGTCGACTGATTCTAAAGCCTCTACACACAAGGAGGGTTCAGGGTTTATGGTTTGAGGCTCACAATCAATGTGTTCCGGAATCCTCCTTATAGACATGCTTATACCCCAGTAGGAGCCTTACATGTCGTCACTTGGGATACGGAGTACGAGCTGAGTACGTGCTTCCCAGAAACATGACCTGCCGGGCATCATGCACTGTGGGCTCAGCCCATCAAAAAGACGAGCGCACGTGCGTCGGCTCCTGGATGGTCGTTTTCATTGCCTGGCAGAATTCAATCTGGCCTGCCGGGAAGACTATGTGCCAAACACCCTTCTTCGGCTTCGAGTTCACCACGGACCAGATGTTATCTGCCTGGGAGACCAGCGATGACTCCTCGAGGTCTGCCAGAAAAACTTCTGGAAGCCCAGAGCGTTGCAGACACGGAATATCTAATATAGGGGCCTTGATAGTCAGAATAGGGCTTTGGGGAAAATGATACCATAATTACGATAAGGAAGCCCCAAAATAGTATAGGTAACTATTAGAGTCCCCTATCATGGCATGTAATGTTCCATGTCGGCGAAAGCTCCGCGGCCAACAAACTGCTTACTCAGAGACTCCCATATCCCTTTAAAGGAATACCGAGGGTTCCTTCAAGGGATCTCTAAACGATCTAATGGGTTTAGGGTTTTGGGGACTCCAATATCCCTTAGCGCGTATACCTTAAATTGTAATAGGATCCCTATAATGCGATTTAAATTATATTCCTTAATTACGGGATACTGGAGTCTGTGGGAACCCTAAACCCTAAACCCCGAACCCGCCACCCGACGTAAAGTGCGGGATCCAGGGGTGATTCGAGGATAGCTCGATTTGGATAGGTTTCACGGTCCAGGCCTTTGTGGTTGTGACAGTTTAGGGTTAGCTGGTTGACGGGCGTAAGATTTCGGATTTACTCTAAATTAGAGTTTTTGGATCTGCAACTCTTCGGGCTATATCGTCCAGTCTTGCGTTCGATTGCGGAGGTTGCTGTATCAGGCTGAGCTAAGCCCACAACAGTCTAAGCATGTACTCTTCGCAGGATCCAATGAGGGAACCAATATCTACCCACACCCTGCGCGCTCCAAGCTCTGAAACCCAGAACCCAAGCCCCTGCAGTGGCCTGCCCTGCAATTTGAGGACGTTGTACTCGCAGAATCGCGACCTGTCGTTCGCAAGACACTCGTGCCCTGAATAAGGCATCCCTTAAACTACCCTAAGGCCCCATCGTAGTTCCTTTTGGAGGTTCATATATAGACTTCTATAAGGTAATCCCTAAAAGGAACTACAATGGGGCCTATGGGTACCGTAACCTGACGTTTTGGTGAGTTCTTAGTATGAACCCAGTATGCAATTAGTAGGGACCCTAGAATCGAATAAGTTTTGGAGGTTCAGGTCTACGTTAGTCTTATTCAGAACAAAGTAAGGATCCCTCTATACTTTACGGATTTTTAAGGTATGTGGCTCAATGTACCCTACACCCTGAACCCGAAATCCTCAGTCTCTCTTTTTAACGAGAACACATTGGGTGACCTCTGGAGAAGGCTCCTATGTCACTATGTCTGCCATGGCTTCTTGGGTCATGTGTAGGTGAAGACCATTGGTTTTGGGGCGGTTTAGGGTTTAGGGTTTAGGGGACAATAACTGTCCATTCAAGAGTCCACAAGTTGCTACATGGGACCCCGTGAAGAACAACAGAACATACCGCATGGGTACGCGGACCCTTCAGGGAAGGGTCTTCAACCTCATATCCTTGTAGATGAATACTGAACAATAGTAGTAGCAGTCATTATTGTTGTTATAACCTAGGGCGCTGAGAAACTCTGGCTGGTTGGCTGGCCCGCACTTGTCTGTCCACCCACTTCATTTCAGAGATGAGCTAAAAGCCCTTAACCCAGATCCCCGGGAGGATCTAGAAAGTAGATCCCCTAATTTGGGGATCCTTTCTACTAAGGGTACTTCATAGGACCCCCCCAAAAAGGGATCAACTTTTGGATCCTCCCGGGGATCTGGGTACAAGCAACAAGCTGCCGAACGTCACCATCCCCAAGAGGCCCGAAGGGTCCTAAGTACCTACCTTTAAGGGTACCATAAGGGTTCCTTTCAGGGTTCTTTTTAGGGAACTATGAGAGTTTAGGGTTTAAGGTACTAAGTACCTATATAGTTAGACTGTAGGGTCTCTAACTTAGGCATTACTATCATGATTTGGGAAGTAATTAACCCCCATAGCAGTACCGTACTGGCAGTACCTATAGGGCCCTATGAGATTTAACGTTACTGCTCCTCTTACTATGTGTATTATAAGCCTTCTGGAGGGTCCAAGCTCACCCGCCTAAGACTTGCGCGCAGGCCCTAGACCCAAGAGTAACCTAGGAATAAAAAGGGTGCCCTTTTTGGTTTAAAGGGGCTCATAAGGGAACCTGAACCCTCAAAAAAGGGAATAAGGGCCTACTCTGGGTCCTAGGGCCTTCCGGTCTTCGAACAAGCCAGAGAAGATCTTCTTCAGATACGCATTCACGTCCAGCACGTACCTGCAAGCCAGCTTAACTCCTACCCAGTGAACTAAGAATAAAAAGGCCTCTCTTCTTGGTATTGGGTAACTTTATAAGGAACCTAGGACTACAAAAAGGGAATAAGGGTACTACTGGGCATCCTGGTGCAAGCCAGCTTAACTCGAAGGGTCCATGGACCTTGAGGGCCAGGGATTTGGGTGGCCAAACCAGCGACTTAATGATGTGCCCGCAATCCCAAACAACTCGCCGAACACGAAACCTAAGGCTCGATCAATGTGCCTCTGTTGTATAGACTTCGGCCTCAAAGTACCTCTATACGAGCCCCTTTAAGGCCTAAGTACCCAAGTATATACGATGTTAGGGTACATGGAGCCTGGGTCCTTCAAGAACCATCGAGCGCCCACAGGACGTGGGGTGAGTGGCCTGTGGAGCATGCACGGCTTATAGAGGGATTTCGAACCTCATGCACCCTTCATCATACTTCACCCGCGCCTTCAGCAAAGCAAGAGCAACACGTAGATCCTGAACCATAACGGTCTACTTGGAGGATCATGAGACTGTAAATAAGGATATAAGAACCCTAACTAGGGTTGTAAGTAGTTCAATGTATGAACATCTTATCGATCATCCTTGTTACTGAATCCCCATTGCCTGCTCTGCCAGGCCAAAACCTCAAACGTAGGACCCTCCCAACTGGCGCACTCCAGTACCTCCTCCCAGTTTCTCTCCACGAAGGCCTGTAGGAGCACAGGGTTTAGTGGGGTTTACAGTTTGGGGTTTGCGGGTTCAGGGCTTCAGCGTGCTTGATGTGCACTCCCGCCCCGCCATGGTTGAACCTTTCTGCATGGGGACCCTTCATGTTGGCTATCTCAAGGGATTGCCAGCCGCACCTCACTATTACTTTCCAGGCACCGTTTTCGCTCGAAGTGCATGCCGAAGTTCTTACAAGCGAACACTTCAGCTGTGGCAGTTCATCTTAGTTTGGATTTGATCGGAGTCACTCCAACCATTTGCCCGAAACTCAAGTCATACTCCCAGACACTCCAATACCCTTCAATTAAGGATCATACCTTAAATTCTATTAGGGATCCTACTATTGTTTAAGGTATAGATAGCTATTGAAGGGATGTTGGAGTCCTCGTAAAGGGGTCTTCGCGTCGACAAATCCTGACACACGAAACCCTTACCCTAAGGGTCCAAAGGACCCAATAGTCAGGCACTCGGTTTTAGAATAGTACTCATTGACTCATGTAGGTTACCTTTTTAGTTTTTACTGGAGAGTATATGATATAACTATAATAGGTACTTGGACCCTTAGGGTTCACCCTAAACCTCGCAGACGGGAAAACCCATGCTGCTCCTAAGCTCTCCAGGCCCGAGTCCCTTAACTTCAAGAGCTCTGAAGCAAACCCTAAACCCTAAACCCTGAACCCCTAAACCCTAAACCCCTAACCCCTAAACCCTAAACCCCTAAACCCTAAACCCCTAAACCCTAAACCCCTAAACCCCTAAACCCTAAACCCTAAACCCCTAAACCCTAAACCCTAGATCCTCGGGCCCGAAATCCGGAACCCTACCTAACTATAGTCTCCACTATAGTTTCTTTGTTGGGCTACGCTATAATTAGGATTCTCGGTATATGGTAGGTTAAACCAGGAGGAAGAGCTACGATACGGTTAATCCTGCATTACCTTAAGGGCTCTGAACTCTGGGAATTGTGGTATATTGCTTATTATGGGTAATGCAGGATTTATATCATCAACAGTAGAAAGCCACAGAAGAAGAGCCCGAGACCCAAAAGGCCCGGAAGACCCAACCCTTCAAACACCCCCGGGCCAACGCCCTGAACTCTAAGGCTTCATGTGCCCAAATGGTGTGTGCGCGTGTACATATATATATATATGCCTTAAAAAGGTTCCTATGAAGGTACTTTGTGGTCTCAGACTACATGATGTAAAGTACATTTCTTGCTCTCGCCGCCTGCTGGTAAGCTCGCTCCGCGGCACCGGAGGCGTCGGGCATGTCGTGAAGGCACTGTGCCCGGATGTCTGCGGCCACCTTTGTTAGCTTAGGCTTTCTCAGTTGACGGCCTCAGGAATTTCAGGGTTGTAGTTTGAGTGCCAACCAACAAGCATGCTAAACATCTCCATAAGAACTGATGAGGGAAGTTCGGAATGCAATCCTATCGCAAGCGCCACCGAAAGCCTAGCTTGTTGTATGGGCGCTTAGGCCACACCAATTCACCGCTACGTTTTGTATAAACACTGACACCCTGAACCCTGGACTCTAAACCCTAAACCGTTAACACAGTAGTAACTCTAAAGCCTCTAAACCGTACCCTGAGGCTCCCGAACCCTTGTAGTGAGATTCCAAACCGCAACCTCCGAAGACCAAGCCCTCCCCCAGCAAGCCCATGACTCTGCTAGGAGCTTTAGGGTAAACCTTACCTGCACTCCAAAGAACCTACTTCTTGAAGAGCTCTGTGTCATCAGTTCTTTGTATGAGTCCTTAGAAAGGTGGGTTATTTGGGGTTAAGCGGTAAACCTCATAAGTCTTAAACCATGGAAACCCTGAACTATACATATATATATATATATATGTATGTATATGTATATGTATATGTAGAGCCCGAAACCCTACATCTTAAAACTTCGAACTATAAACGCAAAAATCCTAAACCTTAAATCCCAAAGTCTAAACCGTAAATCTTAAACCATATAAAGCCTTCAATGCTGCATTTTGCAATCACCCCAAGAGCTTCCAAACTCAACCCCCTAAACCCCATGGCCTGACGGTAGACCCTCTGAACATAGCCAAGTAGGGCTCTCCCAACACCAGAACTTCGAACTAAAACCCCAAAACCCCACACCCTGAAGCATAAAACCCTACACCCCGACCGTAGACCCCAAACCCTAAGCTCTAAAGCCTGAAATTGATGGCAGGAGCACCGCCAGGAGCGATTCATCGAGCCACTCCCTCCCCAGGGAGTCGAAGAAGAGCTCGGCCTGAGCAGCAACTGTTGATGACATAAACCCTCCATTTCCCACAATGAGGAATATACCATAATTCCCATAGTTTAGGGTCCTTAAGGTAACGCAGGATTTATAGCATCAACCGAAGGAGCCCAACTGCCCAGCTGATCGGAACTACTGCACTGTTCGGGACTACTATAAGGGGTCTATAAGCGTTCTATAAGAGAGCTATAAGGGATCCATAAGAGATCTTGGTCTGGGGGCCTTCAACCCTAAGGGTCTATGTACCCCGACAGTATATACTTTGGCACCACAGTACCTAAATAGGGACTACCTTAAGGACCTAAGTATATACTACTGGGGTGCATGACCGTTAGGGTCAGTTATTCTCAATCGTAAACCTTAATACTAGGTTGGCCCTTTAGAGCCTCTGAAAAATATTCGTAGATGGGGTCCTATTAAGCCCAATAAGGGATAATACGAAATGTCCCAAAGGCCTACTTAGAATAGTCTCTTCCGGCAAGGGTATGGGATGCTGGGCCTCCTAAACCCTGTTCTACTTGTTTAGGGTCTAGGGTTTAGGGTTTAGGCCGTTTAGGCCCCTATATTGAACCCACAACCCTTCTGGTGGGGCCAATTACCTACTGATCTTAAGGTTGGAGATTTGCAGGCAAAGGTTTTAGAGCAGCCTCTAGTAGTAGGGGGTTCAAGGTTTAGGGCGTCCTGTGAAGTAGCTTGCAGTAGGCAGAGGTTGAGGGTTTCTTAAGGTATGCTATGAGATAGCCTTTAGCAGTTGAGGGGGCAGAGCTGGGGGCCAATGTCGGGGCTTCTCTTTCGAGACTAAACCTGCAAAAGGAACCTCAGTAAGCCTCAGTAAGGGCTTATGTTTAGGGCTTAAGCTTAGGGTTATCTACGAAAGGAACCCTAGTAAGGGAAAGGCATTCATTACTAAGTATGCACTCGTGTTTGTCTGATAGATTTGGGGATTTCCGAAAATAGGGGACCCGAATATAGCACCCTGAAAATAGTAGGATCCTTATCATAAGGACGCCCAAAATCAGGTACCCGTAATTTTCGGAAACTCCCATCTAGGGATTAGGCTTGGTGCCTCGGTTCTTGGGCGGCTCAGGGTGTAGTCGGGGATCCGGGCTCAGGAGTGGGGGCGTGAACACTATGGCCCCTCAACGTATCCTAAACTGACTAAAGAGTGAAGGGCTTTGGGTTTGGTGGCTGGAAACCCCTAAGGTGCAACTCATCAAATCGCACATCCCTGCAATCTAAAAGTCAACCTCTTTTCTTCATCACGCGCGGCCTGATGCGAAGGTTGCTCTAGATCCGGGCTCCGTGATTCAGGGCGCAACGTTTACTGTGGATCCTGGACCATGAAGCCGAAATCCGAAAAACATGCAAACCTTAGCCCATATGCCCCAGACTGCTACCATTACCCTTAAGCCTTAAACCCTAAATCAATACAACTACCAGTACAGTACAAGTGGCACTCCGAGCGTAACAAATATCTACGATCACCTCTCCTTACTTGTTCTTCTTCTACTACTACCACCACTGCCACCACGGCTATCATCCTTATCCAGGGCCCCAAAAAACCACATAAGCAAAAATTAGGATAGGGATATGCCATATAAACCCCCCCCCTTATAATGAAGCCCAAGAAGGTAGGGTTATCCCCATAAAATGCTCATGTGCTTTTTATTTGGGCTCCTAATTATCATCAAGGCGCCCGGAGACAGAGCAACCTGTGGGTCGACAGGTGCCACGAAACTCGGAGATCGGATCGGCTTGTCGTCCCTGGTGCTTATAAGGGGGGTTTAGGCTCTCAGGGCTTAGGTTTTAGGGGGTTTTAGCGGTTCAAGAATTTAGGGGTTCAAGGGGTTTTGAGGGTTTGGGGGTTTAAACCCTAAACCCGAAACCCTAAACCCTAACCCTAAACCCGAAACCCTGACCCCAAGTTGAGGTTGATTCGCTTTCCGAGTCCCCAAAGCTGGCGACGCACCTCGGCGACGGCATTTTGCAACCTGCCGCGTTCTCCCTGCAGCCGCTTGCAGCCATACTTGTTTAGGGTGTAGGGTTTCGCCTTGGGCTTTAATTTGATGTAGAGTTTAGGGCTTCGGGGTTAGGTTGTATGCCCTTACGCGCAACTCAAGGCGAGGTCGCTGCTTCGAGTCGTAGGTAGGTGGAACCCACCTCGGATCTACCTGAGCTGAGGGTGAAGTTCAGTGTTGATGGACGGCGAATCTCCGCTGTCTTGAGATCACGACAGATCAAGCATGATGTTGATTTTGAACTTTTTGCTCCGCACATTGAGTGCTTCTATAGTAGACAGTGTCGCAATGAGTGGGTCTTTCGGTTTGCCGAAAACGGTTTTACCAACAGGAGTCTGTATGCATGAGCATGCTCGACGCGCTGGTTCCTGACGTCTGTACTGTGCTTGCTGTTCCCTGAGGGTCCAAGTACCCAAATAGTAGGGTTTCAAGGTCCAAAAACCATTCAGAGTATGGATTTTGGGACCTGAAACCCTGCTATTTGGGTACTTGGACCCTCTGGGGCTGTCTGGTATCCTGATGTGCATGCGTTTGTCACTGACCAGTTGTGTCCGGCACAATACACCCCAACTACGATTCGTTGAAAGCCTTATGTTGATAGCTGCTTTCGTATTATGCGAGCATTTGTCGAAAACCGACGATGGTGGCTCAGCCGTGGGCCATACTTCATCAGAATAATGCCAATTACAGAATTTGATTTAAGAGCGGCCTTCTACTGCATAACAACCGTACGGCTCGAAGTCAAAGTAGGGAGCTTACTCTTCGATCGGCAAGCAGGCGCACCACACCCGACGTTTGTAGCACGAGGTGGATGTGAATTACCACTGCGCAACTCGCCAAGGGAGCCGATACAGCGGATTTCCCACGGGCTGGTGACCCATGATTGCATGATGTATGTCCCTGGAAATGACCTTCAGCTTCTGACTAAGAATGATACTAGATGGCTTTCCCAGAAACGGGCGGCCCCTGATGCCTATCAACGTCGATGATCTTCGGGATCTGACTTGGATAGGGGTGAAGGATCCGCTGGCAAGGTCAGAAATGAGGTCGCGATGGCGTGAGACCCTAAAGGTCCATGTACCCATATACCATATAGTTTATACTTCGGCCCCAATGTACCTATATAAGGAATACTTTAAGGCCAAGGTATATACTATTCGGGTGGGCTTTGATGGTGGGAAAGTCCGACCACACGGCTGGAAAGCACCACGAGTCGTGCAGATCCAAAACTTGAAACCTACAGCTCCGTTCATTTCCGAAGCCTTCCGTGCTGCTACGACGGTCCGGCGTGGCTTTCGACACGGTGCTCCTACTCCACGCGTGAACCCCTGTTTTGGCCCTAGATAGATAATAATAGATGGATAGATAGATAGATAGATAGCTAGCTAGACAGAGAGAGATAACTAGACAGATAGCGTCTGCCGATCCTAATACAAACTCGGCGTGCAACAAACCCAAAACCCTAGCCCCTAAACTCTAAACCCCGAGCCCTCAGCCCTAAACCCCTATTGTAGAAGCCAGAAAGTTGGAACATGACTTTAGGAGGATTAGTGCTAGGATCCCTTATATACTTTACCTTAAGGGCATGAGGATAATGATGTTCCAACTTTCTGGCTTCTGCTGTACTTACCCAGAACTCATCGATCTCCTCAATGCGGCATCGAGAAGGCTCTATACAGCCATTATCCTTCACAAAAAGAGAGGCCTCAGTGCTTAGAATACGGTTCCTTTAAAGGGCTTTCTTTAAAAGGGGTCTATAAGGAATCTATGGTAGGGTTCTATGATATCAATGTCGTAATAATTAGAATAGGGTTTGGGGGTACATCATAGTATAGCGGTAATTAATCAGGACCACCCCCCTTTAAAAAAAAGAAAAAACAACTTCTAATCATTATGGCCCTTACATTATCCCTCTTGCTTTCGTCTTGGACTCTGAGGCTGCTATCAGAGCCATGATTCGGTTGATGGTATAAATCCTGCATTCCTCATAATAAGGTTCCTCTAAAGGGATCTATAAGGGTACCTTTGAGGGGATCTTTTAAGGGATCTACAGGGTTTAGGTTTGAGGATGGATGATATAAATCCTGCATTACTCATAATAAGGAATATACCACAACTCCCATAGTCTAGGGTCAGTAAGGCAATGCAGAATTTATATCATCAACCGTTGCTCCCACCAGCACGTCAGAAAGCCCAGCCGATGAGTGCCATGACGATGATGCAGCTCGCGGCGGTGAAAGCGAAGTTGTGGGAGTTCGAAAGGAACTTCTCCTTAGTGGTTTGAGGAATAGTTAAATTCTGTCGGGTCAATCCCACATACTACAGAGAGATGTGCTGACAGTTTTCACTGCCAACACCGCGGATGTCCCAAATGAGCATATCTACCAAAACCTTCGTGGCATTGCTCTCAGAACTGGGGACCCTAAGCCCCTAAATCCGTGATTTAGGGTCATTTGAGGTGAACCCAAGGTCCCAAAGGAACCAATACGGTTTAGGGCTTAGGGTGTGCAATACTTGGAGGATCATGGGACCTACTATGTCAGGATATAAGTACCTGAGTTAGGATTACAAGTAGTTAGAAACATAGTTACCTTGTTCATAACCCGAGTGACTAAGTCAGCTGTAGCCCTGGAACCATAAAAGATTCCCATCTTGAATGCCCCCGAAGCAACCGCTATTCATGGTGGCACCCTAGTAAGTAATAAATCCAATGAACAACTCCTCCAACGCCTTAAACACCAAAAACCCTACTCCGTAAACCTTTAACCCCTAAAGATCGAAACCCGATAATTACAATCCTAAACCCTAATCCCTGAGCTAAACCCTGTAAGCCCTTTAAACCCTAGACCGTGAAAACATGTAAGAACCCTATAGGCCCTAAACCCCCAAATCCTAAACCCTGCTGTAATGTGGTTTCTATCATGAAGCCTAAACCCTAAACCCCAACCCCTGAATCCTAAACCCTGAACCTTT